AGAAGCCCGTGGATTCCAGGAGTTGGGGTCTAGAACACAGAGTGAGTGGGCAGCCGTGGGAAGTGGAAGGCTGAGGGTGCAGGGTGTACCTCTCCCAGAAGCCTGGGAGTGATTGGATGGATTTTCCCTTTTAAACTGCTCACTCTGGCAGTGGTAGCTTGGGTTGGGGCCAGGCTGGAGGCAGACGGGTGAGCAGTGAGGAGGGTTGGGGAGAAGTGGGTGGTGGTCCAGCATTCCTCAGAGTGGGGAGCCCTGTGAGGGTGGGGCGCCGGTGGTGAGGTCTGTTTAGGACACGTTGAATCTGAGGTGCTGGTGGGATCCCTGGGGTGATGCGTGAATAGCTCAGGGGAAGCAGGCTTTTCCTGAGATCTGTCAGCAAGGTGTTCCCCCCTCGTCCCCCCCCACCCCCGAAAAGGACCTGCTGATTTTCGTTGCTCAGCCCTGTGCCGCCTTCCCGCTCCCTGCTGTGCCCGAGCCCATCGCAGCAGCTGTTGTGTGAGGCCATCTCGTGGAGGGGCGCCCTTGCTCTCGCGGACCCTCTCTCTCTTTACCTTACTAGCCCTGAGGTCCTTTTCTAGCCACGGCTTTTCCTGACGATGGATCCAGAGTAAATCAGCCCAAGTCCTGCCGGCCTCACTTCTAAGGAGTCTTCAGGTGGCATTTCTTCTGAGACTGACGTGTTGGTTCTCTCTGCAGCAGTCTGCTGTTCAATAGTGTGTGAGGCACCGCGGCTTTCACACCTCAGCCTTTCTGTCTTTGTACATCATCCAACTTTTGCATGCAGATGAGGCAGTTGGAAGAGCGTGACATGAAGCAGCCTCCCCCCCACCCCCCCTTTGTATCCAGTAGGTGCTCCCAAGCCGGGTGCTTGTCCTCCACCTCTACTGGCCTGGACTTCCCGGCCAGCACCTCCACTGCCCGCTCCTCAGGGCAGAGGGGGCAGGCCTTCCAGGAGGGACTGCCAAGTAGGCCCACAGTCGCCAAGCTCCAACTGTGTTGCTCACTGGCGAGGTCCTGAAACCTTGCTTAAGAACCCACAGGATGAAGTGGGGGTGGGGTAGAGATGATTCCAGCACGGCCCGTGCTTGAAGGTGAGTCCTGGGGCTCATGGGAACGTAATTTGCATATTACATGAACTTCAGGGGCTTTTTATTTATTTAAATAATGACAAAAATGCCCCCTGAAGTTTCCAGGTGCCTGGTTCTGGGCGCATTCCTGGAAAGATTGTGTGGCACAGTTTTGGAATAATTGAATTAGGAGCCACACTCAGGTGCTAATAAAGTGGAAGTAGGATTTTCAAGGTTCCGCTTTTGAAAACCAGGAGATGAGAAGCGTCCTGGAAAGGCGTTTTCTTCAGGCAGGTTGTCTCTCTCCTCCTCAGGGGAGATGCCCCTGGGAGAGAAGTGGGGCTGTGCTGATTGGAGGTGAAGGGGAAACACAACAAGAACGTGAAGGGATTGCCTGGTGGCCAGCCGGGCGGCTCTAGGGAGGGTTAGGATATGTGCCTGCAGTTGGTGGATACGATTTGTCCGCGGACCCTGGTTCTGGCTGTGGGTTAAAATATGCATCTGTGGGGAGTCTGCTTACAGATGATCAGTGTGCGCTCATTAGCAACATGTGTTGGTCAAGAAAGGCAGACGTTTCCCCCCAGTGAGTGGGGGAGCACATTTCTGTGATACTCCCTGTACGTGGACAGGACCTTCTTCCGGAGGGGCTGGCACCAGTCTCCCCTCCCAGACTGGGACCCCCGCCTCGCTCAGGGGCTTGGAGTTCTGTGAGTGTGACAGGTCAGCCTTTTAGGTGGAAAGAAAGGCAACGTGAGCGCAGGCATTCCTTGAAGGCGGCCTGGGTTCAGTCCCCGGCCCCCTGAATAAAGGACTACTGCCCTGACCTGTCGGTCCCCAGGGTGCAGAAAAGCTGTGTTGACACTCTAGTCTGGCACGTGTGCAGCACCGTTATGAAAATGCATGCGCTGCTCTGAGAATCACTGAAGTGTCACCGCTGGTGGGAAAATGGGACCGATTGACTTGCTTGAGGCTAGGTTGCCGTAAACCTTCAATTTGTGGGAACCCTCTGACCCCAGTGCAGTATCTGTAAAGTGCAGTCAATTGTGTGCCTAATCTTCTTACAGATTTTACCATTTTGGAAACTTGCCCTTTGATGGTAGGACATATGCACTAAAAGCCGTAGGAACCCGCAGTTGGTAGACTAGTGAGAGAGTCCATGGCTCCTTGTAATTCCCGCATCTGTTGTTGTTCAGTTTACTTACATTCCTCTCTGACTAGGTTGTTCTTGTTTTCTTCTTTCGTTTAAACCAACGGAAGAAACCTCTTCTTTCTTAAAGCGCATCATGGTTAGTGTCCGCATACTGTGACACCAGAAGCGTTAGGACTGGACTCTGCTCTACATGATTGCAGCATGCAGAAACCTAAATGGGTTTTAAAAATGCAACTCCTACGAGTGGGCCAATTAAATCTTCGCAGGTCAGATCGGCAGAAAAGTCACTGATCAGCTTTGCTCGAGTGAAGCTCCAGGACTTGGGATACCTTGGATGGAAACTCAGGTAGAACTCGTTTTAATCTGAAAGTGGAACCCGAATTAGATGAGTCTTACCATACTTGTTTCAGCGCCGTGGTGGTGCCGTGGTGAAGTACCTGACTGCTAGCCGACACATCTGACGTTCGAGCCCACCAGTCGTTCTGGCTGGAGAAGGTGACCATCAGCTCCGTCAAGACCCACAGCCTTGGAAACCCCATGGGGCAGTGCCATTCTGACCTGGGTCTGCCATGCAGAACCAGCCTGACGGCAGTGGGTTTGCTGGGGATTTGCCATATCCATTCGCAGTTCTGGGGATTTGGCATCAGTTAGCAGGTCAAATGGAGTGTTAGAACCATAGGGACTTGTGGCCCAAGGGAGACTCCGGTCTTGCAGCCTGAGTTGGATTTAGGGGTGAATGCAAAGGCCAGGGAAGGCCTTTTCCCAGGTTCCTGACAGCACGGGCGACAGAGATGGCCTTGTAGCCACCAGCAAGGCTTCTGAACTGATCCACTGGGTCCCCCGCCACCACCGCTTATATCCTTGAACCTCTTGCAAGTCCTTCACCGGCGTGCAGTGGACCTTAGGGCACTTCCTTCTCCCTCTGCTGTGGGTGGTGACAAAGAGGGCCTGATTGTCGGGGCCAGACAGGGGCTGGGCAGGCGTTGGGAGATGGCACTAGCACATTTGGACAGCGATCACTTCATTTCTCGCCAGTTCAAGCAGCTTGATTGTGGCTTCAGGCCTTGTTGACTGCCATAAAGTGCAAGAACCTGGAGTGGGTCCAAGGTGTGAAATGGCACTAGGTGATAGACTGAGCCAGCCCCCATGTCCTCTGCTTGCCTTTCAAGGGCATAGCCACCTTCCAGAAACCTCGATGGCTTCTGTCAGGGTGCAGGTGGCCCATGCGTGCCTGAGCAGTGGTAGTTCCTGCAGAGGGAGGTGCCTTGGAGATGGTGGCCCAAATGTGTGGAGAGGTGGCACAGAGCAGACGAGGGCTGGGCTGGGGTTCTGGGCCGACCACTCGGGCTGAATGACTTTGGCCTTTCTGGTGAACTTTTCTGGCTTTGTTTTGCTCACTTGCAAAATGAGAGTAGCAAGCATACCTCAGGTCATGCTAAAGAAAGATGAAACGTCAAGGCTGTGTGGAAGCCCAGTGCCTGGGAGCTGTCCCCATGTGTTGGAGAAGAAGGTGTGCTCTGAGGGTGGGTGTGGCAGCCCCTACCCCCACCCTCACCCCCACCGTCCCAGGCCTGGTGGGTTTTGCTATCACTGTGATTCACTTTCTCTTAAAGAAGAAAGTACCTTCTCAAAGTTGCTGGCACCATGTCCAAGAGCCCCTGCAGTGGGCCGGGCTGCTGCTCCTGGAAGGCCGGGTGGGAGTCCCAAGCTTCAGTTAAGGACCCTGGTTAATGCTCTTATGTGCCATGCTTGCACATCTAGGAATGAGTGTGATCAGAAGGCAGCTTTGTGAGGACAGGCCCCTCTCCCTGCTGGCCTGCACCATGCCTCCAAGGAGGACCTGCCAGGTCCCCTTCAGGTCTGCCTGCTGCCGGGCGTCCCCAGGTCTCTTCCAGCGCTCCTTCCCCCTGAGACTTAATCAGATCCCTGCCTCCTGCTCCCCTCAGCTAGCCAGTTCCTCCCGCTTGTGGCAGACTTGGGTGATGGACAACCCGTGCCCCGCCCTGTGAGCTACTTCCGTGTACAGCGGCTTTCTTGTGTTTTTCACCTACAGAAGAAGTGCGGTTTATATTGTGGCCCAGTGGGAGTGTGGGTGCGTGCACTCACAGACCCCCCCTCCCTTCACTGGACGTGTCTCTTCGGCTGACGTTGTTTGTTTTCAGCACTGGTTGGGATCTTACAGTTCGATTGCACTTTGCATCTGGACTGCTGTTTAAACACTTTGGCCTTGGGACTGGTTGAGCCAGAGGGCAGGAGGGAAGGGACCCTGGCGGTCCTCCAGCCTGCCTTGGCTGTTAAGGCTGCCCTGGGAGTGGGGCGGGGCAGGCAGCCCTCACCCCACCCAGCCACCGTGTGGGGAGTTACTTTGGGAGATGAGAGGCTCTCTCCCACCCCACAGCTTGGGTGCAGAGGAATGAGCACTGCCCCAGGAGTCAGTGTACCTGGTTAAGTCCTGGTGCCCCCGCTTGGTAGCTGTGAGCCTTGGGCAAATAATGCTACCCCTCTGTGCCTCGTTAGGGCTGCTGTGTGGCCGGGTGACGTGTGGGCGGCAAGGTGCGGTGCCTGGCGCACAGCACTGGCTCTGAGGGCATGACTGACCCACACATCTCTTACTCTGCCCCTGCAGCCGGGGAATGGCAAGGGTCACTCTAGGGCTCGCCTTGAACTTGAGCCCTTCCTGTTTTTTCTCTTCCTGGATCAGAGATGGATTGGGGACAAGCACCTGGTCCCCTTCTGTTGAGTGTTCTGTTCAAGCTGTGTGATGGTTGCCTCCTCTCTTCCAGCCCTGAAGGATGGCTGCCATGCTGGGGGACGCCATCATGGTGATCAGAGGCCTTTCCAAGCTGACCCAGGCGGCCCTGGAAACCCACCTGCAGCACTTGGGCCTCGGCGGGGAGCTTGTCATGGCAGCCAGGGCCCTGCAGTCCACAGCCACCGAGCAGTTTGGCGTGGTCTTTGGGAAGGTGCAGGTAAGGAGGCCACCGCCTGAGGGGAGACTTGGTGTTCTTGGTGAGATAAGGGTGTGAACCTGGGCCAGGGGGCCCACAGGCCGGTGCTGGGGGTGGGGCTTCCCTGTTTGGCTGGTGCGTGCCTCTGGTGTGATGCTGTGGTTCATTTCGTTTTAGCTGTAGCATCACAGAGCTAGAAGGAACTGGGAATGACCAGGCTGACTGCCTAGCCCAGAACTCTTTATGCAGAGTTATAGTTCACAGCCCTTCCCAGTCACCTGCTCAGGCCACACCTGTGGCACCGGGTTGGGAGTGGGGGGGGTCACTGAGCCTACGTCCCGAGCTTCATGGAGTACCTGGTGGCCCCCATTAAAGAAACCACAAAGAAGTAAGTAATCGCTACCTGTGTATCTCTGGTGGGTGGGTGACAGTTGCTCTGTGATGCTTCTTCCAACAAAGTCATTTGTCCAAAGCCTAACCCCCTCCCTGGCTCCTTTGGTTGTTGTTCGTGTGGGGGTTGGTTTCTGGAACCCTCCCCAGGGTGGCCTGGGCAGCATGGCCCGGCTGGGCAATGCGGGTTTTAGTGGGCACTTCACGCCCAACATTGAGCCGCTCGCAGGAACTCATCTGCCATCTGCCTGGGCTGGGCTTCTAAGGCCCTTCTTGCCCTGCCATTTTGCTGCAGGTTTCTGGACAGCCTGGGGGCTCTGGCTTTCCCAGTGGCAGCTGGTACAGCCTTGCTGAGGTGTCAGGGCCAGAAAGCCGCTGTGTTTCACCATCCCAGGGGAGAGGTGCTTTTTTAAAAATAAATTTATTGGGGGCTTTTACAGCTCTTATAATAATCCATACATCAGTTGTATCAAGCACATTTGTACATGTTGCCATCATTTTCAAAACCTTTTCTTTCCACTTGAGCCCTTGATATCAGCTCCTTTTTTTCCCCTCCCTCATGAACACTTGATAATTTGTAAATTATTATTATTTTCATATCTTACACAATCCGCTATCTCCCTTCACCCACATTTCTGTTGTTTGTCCCCCTGGCGTGGGGTGGGGGTTATATGTCGATCATTGTGATCAGTTTCCCCTTTCTCCTCCCTTCTCCCCCCCTTCCCCTACCTTCATGGTATCACTACTCCCATTACTGTTCCTGAGGGGTTTATCCGTCTTGGATTCCGTGTGCCTGTACCCGTGTACATGCCCTGGTCTAGCCGGGTTTGTAAGGTAGAACTGGAGTCATGATAGTGGGGGTGGGGTGGGGAGCATTAAAGAACTAGAGCAATGTTGTGTGTTTCGTCAGTTCTTTACTGCAGCCTGGCTGACTTGTCCCTTCCTTGTGAGCTTTCTGTGAGGGGATGTCAGATCGTTTCAGGGGAGAGTTTTAAGCACAAAGAGGACTAAAGATGTGATGGTGACCAGGGACTACTGTAAGAGGGCACTGCCCACCTGGGTGTCACCTTGTGCAGTCGCTACAAGGAAGGGGAGGGGGCATCTGTGTGTGCCTGAGTCTCTGTGTGTTTCTTGGGTCTCTGCATGCCTGTGTGTGTACATCTCAAGGGTGCGAACGTGTCTCTGTGTGTTTGTGTCTCTGTGTGTTTGTGTATATCTCTGAGTGCACCCGCGTGCATTTTCATGTGTTCATGTGTGTATTTTTGTGTGTGTCTACATGCTGTGAGTTGTTTCATCTCCTTACATCTCCATTTCTGTTCTGTGCTTGGCTGACCTCCTGCACAAAGACACAAATGTGCTTCTGAGCTTCACACCCTCAGGCCTTTGGTGCCTGGTCAGGCCCAGGTTTATAATTTCTAGACCCTAACCACACCCTACCACACCCCAACCCACACCCTGCCTCTCCTGTGTGGGGGCTTGCTAAGAGTCCTCCTTGAGTCTGCAAACATGCCTTTGGCTTCTGGAAGTCTTCACTTCCTGAATCTCATGTGTACCGCTCCCTGCCCTGGGAGTGAGGCAGGCCCCGGAGCTTCTCCCTGTGTCTCAGATAAGGAACCGGAGCCAGCAGTTTGATGCAAGATGGGGTGACAGTGACAGAGCTTAGCTGTCTTGGGGATGGGGAGCCATTCCTTCCTGTCAGGGGCTTTGCCTCTGGAACACTCAGGTGTGAGACTCACCTGGGGACACCTAGAGGCATCACAGTGTGTTGGACCGAGGGCACAGATTCCCTCTTTACTCTGCCCAGCCCTCAGGCAGCCCCAGAGGGCCGGGGTCTGTACAGGGCTGCTCCCCAAACTCAATCCCTCAGACCTGGGGTGATGGTTCAGCATCCCAAAGGATGCATGTGAGCAGTGTGATCGCATCCAGCTTGCTCCCACTCATTCGCCGCACAGTTAGAATTAGACTGCCCTCTTCCTGATGGGTCCTGGTGGTGCAGTGAGCTACACACACAGAGCTGCTAAGGTCGAGGGCTTGAACCCACCAGCTTCTCCACGGCAGAAAGAGGAGGCTGCTGCCTGCTTTCATAAAGGTTTAAAGTTTCAGAAACTCAAAGGGGCACGCCCTATCCTAGGGCTTCGCTGTCCGTCAGAATGACTCGATGGCAGTGAGCCCTCTTCCTGAGGGGCCAGAAGGGCAGACACCTCCAGGAACCCGAGTCCCTCCAGCTCCCCAAGCCTTTGTCCCTGTTATCACTGGGCAGACCCTGAGTCGGGTTAGGTAGCTGCATCACCAAGTACGCTGGCGAGACCCCCCCCCCCCAGCACTCTCAGGAGGGGTGGAGTCAAGGGGGCCGCAGCCCGGACTCCCTCCCTCAGATGGCACTGCCTCTTGAGAGATGCTTGGAGAGAGTTGCCCCTGGAGGGCCTTGGGCTCTGCTACCCCATTTGTAGGCTGTGGATTTGACCTAATTGTTTCAGCTTGTTTAGCCTCAGTTTCCCATATGTGAAGTGAGAGTGACAGCCAGTGATAGCAAGTCAGAACTGCTCAGCTCCCAGCATGCCGTACAGAGCGGAGAGAGTGGGCCTAGGTGTGCACGCACCCATGAGGTCAGCAGAGCTCAGTTGCCGTGGGCATGGGCACATGTCGGTGAGAATCCAGGAGCCCAGGCCGCTGACCACCCTCGGGAGTTCACACTGTTCCAATTATAGCCTCCGTGGCGCGGTTTCCCTTGCCCCGTGAGGTCGTCATTTGGGGCCCCACATCCCTGGGACTGTTTGAGATGAGGAAGTAGCAGAGAGGTCAGGAAACTCACAGCCATTCAGGGTTCACGAGCAGAAGGAACCTGACGCATGGCTCTCAACAGAAGAAATTCCACAAGAACAGACATTTATTTCCCCCCAGTTCTGGAGGGCCTCTCCTCGTTTCTGGTGTTCCTGGGCTTGTGGGTGGGGGTGGGGGCCCTCCCCTCCCATGGCAGCTGTCCCCCCGTCCCAGTCTGCTCTTTCAGAACTCAGTGATTAGTGTAGAACCCACCTTACACCGGCATGACCCAATGAACATACTAGAGGCACTCCTGTTTCCAAACAACATCGTGTCCACAGGAATAGAAGCCAAGGTGATGGGGCAACACAGTTCAGCTTATAGTATCCACGCCTTGTTGTCCTTGATACCCCGGCCCCTGTTACAAACCATCCTGTGAAAGCCTCTCCAAGGGCCCACAGTGGAACAGTCAGCAGTCGCGTCTGCCTGGAGTGGGGTTGGGCTCCCCAGCCTGTTCCTGGTCTTGAGCTCTGCGTTCACTTCTGCAGACTCCCTATCCTGCTCTCGCTTGGGGTCACTGTCCCCACAGCCCTCTTTGGCTGAGATTTCCAGGCGAGGAGCTTGCTCCCAGAGGTGCTGGCCCTTCTGCTCCCCTCACCTGGCCCCAGCTTGCTCAGGGCAGTGCTCCCTGGTCCCATGGGGTGGGCTGGGGGTGCCTCAGGGCAGAGGCAGGCTGAGTCCCGGGCTCCTGGGCCAGGAGCAGCGTGGTGTGCGGCCTTGTGCAGGGGTGAGGGCCTGACTGCCGGCTTTCCTCTCCCGCTGAGTGCTGTGTCTGTTCCCTGCAGGGTCAGGAGAGACATGAAGAGCCGTATGCTGAGAGCTTCGATGACCTGGAGGCAGAGTTCCACTTTTTGGGCCCACAGGCTGAAGGAGACTCTGCAGGTCTCTCTGCTGACCAGCCCTCCCCATCGCCCCAGGATCACACCTGTAAGGAGGGCCCAGCTCCTGCCTATGTGACCAGTGGACCCTTCAGCAGCGCTGGCTTTCCAGGCCAGGCCGCCTCCCACCTGGGCCGAGTGAATGGGAAGCTCTTTGCAGACCACCAGGACCCATTCTCTGCCATAAGCGTCCAGCGAAGATTCTTCCACCAGGACCAGGCCCCTGTGGGAGGCCTCACGGCGGAGGACATCGAAAAGGCCCGGCAGGCCAAGGCGCGCCCTGAGAGCAAGCCCCACAAGCAGATGGTGTGTCCCAGACCTGAGGGACAGGGCTGTCTCAGTGTGGCGCTCTGGCAGGGGTCAAAGGTGGCCTTTGGGGGAGTGGGCTGTGAGGCAGGCAGAGCTGCTGCTTTTGTGAGTGGGGCATGCCCTGTGTGCTGACCCATGAGCTCTCTCTCTTCCTGCAGCTCAGTGAGCGAGCTCGGGAGCGCAAGGTGCCAGTTACTCGGATTGGCCGGCTGGCCAATTTCGGAGGTAAGGTGCCTTTTGTACTCTGGCCCTGAGGGCACCGGAGAGGGAGGGCATGTGGAGGTGGGAGGCGGTGGGAACTCAGTGGTCCCCTGTGGGGGCCGTTAGACGTAGGTGGCAGTGAATGTGCTTGTGTTGGCGACGGGGACTGTGCTGCCCAGTGTTTTCCACCCGGTGGTGGTCCAGTGACTAGAGGGCTCTGGCTGTGTTGGCCTAGGGTTGCTGTGAGGTGATGCCCTGCCTGGAGGGGCAGCTTTAACTGCTGCTCCATCCACCCTGGCGGGCATCGCAGTAGCATCTGCTTGTTGCTTCTGCAGAGAGGACAGGGAGTGAGTAGAAGTTCCGCCTCAGGCTTTTTAGCATAGACCCATGACCTGCCCTGGGACCAGCCATTTGGGAGACCCCTCTGTTGCATGTCCCAGGCCTGCAGTGCAGCACCGGCAACAGGACGCGGTGGCCCGACCTATCGTTGTAACACCCATTCCAGCCTACTGGAGCCAGAGAGCCTCGCCGTGCTGTTCACTGCAGTGCTAAGTAGCGAATCAGTCTGTCATTCTAGAGCAGCGGCTCTCAACCTGTGGGCCGCGACCCCTTTGGGGGTCGACCGATCCTTTCACAGAGGTCGCCGATTCCTAACTAACAAAACCATAGTGAAGTAACAACGAAAGTAATGTCATGGTCGGGGTCACCACCGCATGCCTGCATGAAAGGGTTGTGGCATTAGGAAGTTGAGGACCACCGCTCTAGATGTTTTCATATGTGCGGAATCCTCTAGTTTTGGCCCTTTACTGTTTGACCGATTTCGTTTAACAAAATGCTTTCAACAGTCATTCATCAGAACGTCATGCCATTTTTGTCTCCATAATATTCCACTGTGTGTCCTACACTGTACTCTGATCCTCCGTTCATCTGTCGCTGGGTGTTAGGTTTCTCCGCCTTTTGGCTGTCGACTGCTGCTGTGAATCTGTAGCTGCTTTAAACTATACGCGCACAAAACTGACTTTCAGTGGAAGTTCATACAGCAAATAGACTCCCATCCAGTATTGCTACACTGTTTGCCCAGTGGTTCTGAACACAGGTGGCTCAGAAGCCTCATGAGTTAGTTTTTCATGTACTTCCCCTTTGGCAGTGTTTCCAGGCAGGCTGCCCTGTTTCCAGTGGTCTCTCTTCCATGCCTTCTCATTGGGTCCCTAATGGTCACTAGGTCTGATGGAGATTTTTTTAAAAGGCGCACAATACTCATAGGTGACGCTGTTTTATGCACCTATCTGTTACTTGGCTAAAAGGTGAGCTCATGGAATAGCTTCTAGTCAGAGTTTTAGGAGCCCCTCAGGGCAGTGATCTCCGGGAGTCCTCCCGGCTCATCCTGTCCAGTAAGTCCGGACTTTCTGAGAATGTGAATATTGCACCACAGTTTGCTTCTGTTCTCTCAGGATCCGCCTACTGTGTCCTTGATCCGAATGGTCCTTTGTCAATTGTCACTGGTGCTGCAATGAACGTGGGTCTTTTCTTGTCACCGGTATTAGATCTCTAGGGTGTACGAGAAGTGGGATTAATGGATTTTAAGGTGATTCCAGTTCTAGTGTTGAGAAAGTACCCTACTATTTTCCATAGTGGTTGCACGATTTTACAATCTCAGCAGTAGGGATAAGGGGAGGGTCCCAACTCCTTACATCCTCACTAGCATTTGTTTTGTTTATTTTTGATCAGTGTCACTTATCAGGAGTGAGACAGTATCTCATTGTAGTTTAATCTGCATCTCTAATGGCTCATGATCATGAGCATCTTTCCATGTCTATTGATCACCTGAATGTCATCTTTGGTCAGTATCTGTTCATGTCTCTTGCCCATATTTTAATTTGGTTGTATTTTTATTGCTGAGTTGTTGAGGTTTTCTACATATTTAATAGGTTAAATCCCCAACAGACATATATCATTCCTAAAGATTTTTTCCAGTGGTTATTGGCTTGACTTACATGCATTTGCTTGATGACGTCCTGTTATCATACCTGTTATATATTTACTGTCAAGATGTTTCCATTGAAAGTGCACTCTCCTTTTCAGTGATGTGCTGAATGTCAGTGACACCCTAAAGACTGGGGTCACTGGGGCTGACACTGTAAAGTTCACCTGCTCTCAGTGGGTTCTCCAAGCTATACAATTAATGACAACAGCTTGATTTTTGGCCACTTGATTCACATACTGGCTTTAGATGACTGTTTACTTACAAGGCCATATATAGCAATTTTTACAGTGAGTCAGCAGTGTCATTATTGTCTTTCTGGCTTCTTTTTGTTTCTCTCGCTGCCTTCCTCTCCCCTCCTTGCCTTCTCATGGTTGTTTGCGGGAGACTGCTGAGTGTGGCTCGTGGCTTCTGGAGGCTAGTCAGTCCCAAGTCCGTGGGTCAGGCGTCAGGCTGGAGACTTGTTACACCGCTCCAGGGGCTGATGAACCCCAACTCTGCAGGTTAGATAGCAGGTTGCTGGTTCACAGGCTGTGAAGCTGATGAAACCAAGATGTGCAGGCAGTATGGGGGTCAGGTGACGACAAACGGGTTGCAGGATCCAAGGAAAGCAGAACTTGGGAGCTTTCTCAGAAGATCTGTATGGAGGCCCGCCTCACCCCAGAGGAAACGTACAGCTCCGTGGCTGATCACATCCTGGAGATAATTACATCATGTCACCAATGGAGGACGTCTACATCATTACATGCTGTTGGACCCCTTGGGTGGGACAAGAGGACCAGCAAGATGGTTGGGCAGTGTCCAGGCTCCGTGGTGTGGTACCTTGTGCATAGCTCACCATTCCATCTACAAACGTGTGTCAGTCGGAGCCGCCTCAGGCCATGCCAGGCCGTCCTGGGCACGCAAGGACTTGCTTTGCTCCTCCTTAGCAGCCAGCGCCCTCGAAGTGCTCCCTGCCCCAAGTGAGGCAGATCCGCTGGACAAGCGCCCTGGGCATAGGGCGTGAGAGCACAGCCCCTGCTTTCCCAGGCACCCGTGCCCCACCCCGTGTTCTCCAAAGCCCCGCGGGTGGTGGTGATTACCTGCAGTTACAGATGAGGCGGCTAAGTCTGCGGGTCAGTGCATCCCCCAAAGCCAGGTGCTCATTGGTGACTAGGACACAGGTCTCTTGTGCTAAGGCCGAGTCTGCAGCCAGCACAGGGCCGGGTCAGGTGTGGGCTGCCCACCGCCCTTCCCTGCCGGGCCATTTCTGGGAATGAAGCCCTAGCGCTGAGAACTTTGGAGAACGCGCCACGAAGCTTCCTCCTTCCCTTCTCTTCCTCCTGCGCTGTGGGTGCCACACTATCCCCCCCACCCTCCCCCTTCTCTGTGGGGGCAGGTGGACAGTCCAGCTAGTGGTAGAGAAGGTGGGCTGAATTAGTAAAGGATTCACTGGAACTACTAAATTGCTTCTTGGGAGGAGGGAAGTCCCCTTGCCCCACTGCCCTTTCCTGTATTGTCCAGTCGGAGAGGCTCTCGGGTGACACGGGGTGACTGCTGTTGGCTTCTTCGGTTCTCTTTGCCCCTGCACTGCAGGGGAGCGCCCTTGAGCCTTGCTCTGTAAACACGTCCAGGGTTTCTGGAAGGTAAAGCCCAAACCACAAGAGATGTTTATTCAGTTTATTCACGTGTCCCTGTTCTTAAGTACCTTTCACCCAGGCTCCTTACTATTCTGCTCGCGGGGAGGGCTTTTAGTCATTGTTTCTTTTACCCTCTGGTACGTCTCTGCCAGAAGCCAAGTGACCGCTCAGGGGAAGGCCGGGGAGGGCTCTAATGACCTCCAGCAGGATTTGTGGCCAGCTGAGGGCTTGGGCTCTGAAGTGACCCCAGCAGACCTTCAGCCTGGGATGCCTGGCCAGCCCCTTGAAGGCCAGCCTCCCTGTGAGAGAGATGTCAGCTGCTTTCTTGGAATGGTTGGTACTGGCGTACAGTTGAGGGAAGCCAGGGGCTGTAGGGCCGATTCTGTGATAGCTTCTCCTTCGGGACTTCTCGGCAGCCTAGGCCAGGTCTGCGGGCCCTGCAGGAGACCTGGTCTGTCCCAGGCAGCAGAGAGCGCTGTTGGTGCTGTCAGGATGGGGAGGCGCCAAGGCCCAGGTTGCCCATCTTTCAGGGGTTGCCATCAGGCACCGCTGGTTCTGGCTGAAAGGAGGCCCTGCTCTGCCCTGTTCCTGCCGTCATCACGGGTCTAGGGGAAGCTGGGGCTGCCAGGGCAGGTGGCCAGGCTAGCTAGGGCCTGCGCCCACCGGCCCCAGGCTGAGCCACTTGAGCCTGTCTTCCATTAGCCCTCAGGGTCACAGGCCTGGCAGTGGCTGGCCCTTTGGGAAAACGGCCACAGAGGGAGGCTGAGGCGACCCTGGTGTGTACCCTTAGGTGTTTGTTTCGTGCCAGGCCTTGCCCTTGGAGAGCTTTTGCGGTGCCTAGAGCCTAGAGGTGACTGAGTGTGATGGAGCACTTGAGAGCTGGGCAGCTGTGTGGTATGGTATCGTTAAGGTGTGTGTATGTATATGATGTGTGCATGTGTGTGTGTGGGGGGAGGACGAGGTACAGCCAGGTGTGACCCTACAAGGGCCAGGCTGGGCCATCTTTAAAGCTTTGTCTTTGGACTGGCTCTGTCCAGAAAATTCTAGACATAGACGTTGAAGAAGGTCACTACAGTTTGAAGGTCATCTCTTGCTGAGTCGAATGGTATGCCGGCCTGGGTGGAGTGAGCCAGGCGGTGGGGCACTCGTGTGTAATCAGAGATGGTTGCTCCTGGCTCCCCGCCCAGCTCCATATCCAGTGTCCTGTAGTTCTTTACGAGACCAGAAAGCCTCATCTTTCTCCCAAGGAGAAACTAGTGGTTTCAAACTGCTGGCCTTGTGGTTAGTAGCCCAACATGTAACCACTCCGCCACCAGGGCTCCCTTACCAGTTGAGGATGCACCAGCTCTAGGGAAGGCGTAGCTCACTGTCTGTTCTGGGGAAGGTCCTCGCTTCCATTTTACGTCTGTGGGCTGGCGTTCCTTGGAAATGTCCACGTGTCTTGGTGGCAGTCTGTCCCTACATCTATGAGGCTCCGAAGGACATGCTCTTCCCATTAATGCCGAGCTTCCAGCCATGTGTTCCGACCAGGCCGAGCAGGTGTCTGTTTCTGTGACCTGCACCTCTGGAACAGCGAGGATGATGGTGGGGATGGAGGAAGCGTTTCCCAAAAGTTCTTAACTGGAGCCCAAAGTCAGTATGCCTCTTCCCACCTCCCCTCCCATTTCTCCTTCCAAATGCTCGAGTGTGTGCCAGGGCCCGAGGTGGGCACACGTGAGGCTGACCGCCCGCTCCTCGCTGCAGGTCTGGCCGTGGGTCTGGGCTTTGGGGCACTGGCTGAAGTCGCCAAGAAGAGCCTCCGTGCTGACGATCCCGCAGGTGAGCAGGCCCTGCCTAGGAGGGCGGGCGCCCTAGCTGTTCAAGGAGGGTTGGCACCAGGAGCCACCACTCCCACTGCCCTGTGCAGATGGTGTGTGGAGCATGACATTATTCACAGAGCAGATGGGATTTACCAGAGTCTATAACTATGTACTTGGCTGCTAAGTGAAAGGGTGGAACTTTGAGGCCATCCAGAGACCCCTGGGAAGTAGAGTCTCCTTCTGCTTCCAGAAAATCAGCCACTGAAAACGCTGGAGCACAGCTCCGCTCTGACACATAGGGTCACCGGGGGCTGGAGTGGACCCAGCAGCTGCCGGTGTTTGTGCCTGTGCATGTGCGTGCAGGTGCTCGTACACGAAGGCTTGAGGGGGTTGCTCCCTTCTGGTCTGTGTGCGCCTGAGCCCTGTGACCCACAGAGCTGCATTCCTCAGCTTGAAGCTGAGGCTGGGCCTGAGCTCACCTCCTCTCCTGGTCCTGCTGCCCAGGTCTCTCTCGGGACGGGCTGGCCTCAGGCCTCATTCGGCTGTGGTCAGACAGATGGCTAGGCCCAGAAGTGGGTGATGGGGCGGCCCATGCCTTCTCTGAAGGGGGGTTAGCTGTCCTTTGCTCCTGCTGGTCCGGTGGCCTGCTGGGAGCCTGGAAAAAGCTCTACAGATGGCACTGCAGAGTTTTGGGGTGCTCATGAGGGTGTGAGGATGAGGGGGGCTCAGTAGAGCCCCCTGCCAGCCTCCTCCAGGCCTCGTGTGTGAGGGTGGGCCTGGAGAGTGGGGCGCTACCCAGGATGGGCTTCCGTGTAGCCCAGGGCTGGCCTCTTCAGGGGCACGAACTCATTCTGCTATCCCATACCTATCCCTGAATACCATGGAGGTTCCCTGCCCACACGCAACTTGCTGGGTGGCCTCTTGCCCCCTAAGTCTCCCTGACGGCCAGGGCATGGGATCCGAGCCATGCGGGGAGGATGCCTGCAGCGTGTCCTTGGAAGAGGCCCGGTGAAGGACTTAGTGGAGGTACTTTCAGTGCAGTACCCAGCTGGCTGGGGCGCTGAAGTTTGGGTTTCTCTGGCATGAGAGCCCTGCCCGCCCAGATGATGTCCCTCTGCCCTAGGTTGCCCAAGCAGGGAGCAGGGCATTCTGGGTCCAGGGTTATAGCTGCTGTCCTTTGCCAGGGACAGCGGTGACTAGGTCCCTGGGCAAGGAGGTTGGGACTTAGGGGCTCAGGTGCCTGGTCCCAGGGGAGAGCCTAGGGGAGGCCTGGTGCTTGGACTGGGAGAGGGAGGCCTTTCCTTGGTGGCAGCTTATAGGCTGAGAAATAGAGGGAGCCAACTTGGTTCACTACCGCCCTTCTCTTCAACCTCCCAGCCCTGGGCACCACCCCTGCCTTAACAACTGTGGGAGGGGCCTGAGCCTGGCAGGGGCTTTTGGGCAGAGGGGTAGAGGGGCTATGTGCTGTCCTTGACCCTGTGGGCCTCTTATGGCAGCGGCTAACCACCCCACATGGCAAATGTGCAGTAACCCTTTGTCCAGTGTACCTGGCAGGTGTCCTTCCCAGGCAGCCAGGCTCCTCCAGTAGCCTTGGGAGAGGAGGGTGTGGGGTGTGGTTCTGCGGTGAGGTGAGCCTTACAGACGCCAGGATCCCCTCTGCCTCAGGCCTGGGGCACCTGAGACAGATGCACACAGGAGGGGGTCTACTGGGTGCCACTGCGGGCCATGTGGGGCAGGGCCCCTGGTAGCCTGTTCGCTGCTTAGCCTGTAGCTGCGCCTCCACGGGGCTGAGCAGGGGTGTCTGGCGTGCTGACTCCCCCTGCCTGCAGGGAAGAAGGCCGTGCTGGACTCCAGCCCCTTCCTGTCGGAGGCCAACGCCGAGCGCATCGTGAGCACGCTGTGCAAGGTTCGGGGGGCCGCCCTCAAGCTGGGCCAGATGCTGAGCATCCAGGGTGAGTGCCCAGGGCACGGGCGACCTGGGCAGGGCGGGGGCAGGCCCAGTGAGGAACTGGACTGGCGGCAGGTGGGGCTGAGGAGGCAGGATTTCCTTCCTCTGCCTGCTCTGGACAGGTGGGAGGTTGGCGTCCACCCACAAGCACCTTACAAGAAAGACCTGGTGATCTTCCAAAATACTAGCCACAGCTCTGCGCGGGTACACACGGGATTGCCGTGACTGGGGACTGACTCAGTGGCAGCTGACATTCGGTGTTCAGAAGGTCACTTAAATAGGATAGAATGTCGGTGTGGTTTCGAAAAAAGCCTTTAATCACCTGGCAGTGCCCTCATCCAGACACGTCTTCAGATAGGAAGAAACAGCACACAAGGAAGCACGCTCGCATGGCAAGTGGACTCGGGTTAGAGGAGGAGGGATTTTCTGGACACTAACTCGGGGTTGGCAGTGCAAGCCCGGCCGCCGTGCCCTCGGGGAGAAAGAGGCTTGCCTGCTCCTGGCCAGATGCTCCTCCTGGAAACACTTGCCAGAATCTCTGGGGCAGAATTGACTCGATAGTGGGGGGGGTGTGTGTTATTTCCTGAATGCATTTTTTTAGACATAATCTTGATCACAGCTTCCCAAATTTATTTGGCCTACTGAACCCTTTTTAGACAAAAAGTCACCCTCTTGGTAATTAAAAATGTGTAAATAAAAACTCACCTAGTGTGGGAACCACTGGCTTAGAAGCCATCCATTCCCATCAACCTCTTCAGTGACCCCCAGCTGAGCTGCGGCCCACCACGCCATGTGAACCGTCACCCCAAGCTCTGGGACTGAGGTTCTGTGGGCCAGGTGCTCGCTGGGCAGGTGGTGCAGCTGCCCTGGCCTTATCTGGAGTCTCCAGGATGCTCTGGGCCTGGGACCTCTGTCCACAGTGTCCCTTGTACGCTTGCCCGTTGGGTCCGTCATCCTGCATCCCCACCTCGCTCACCCTCCATTGAGAAAGGGCGCAGCTCCGTGCCTGGCCGCCCCGGGTGCCCTCTGTGCAGCTGGCCTGGAGGGAGACCTCAGCTTGGACGTGTTTTCCAGACGATGCGTTCATCAACCCGCACCTGGCCAAGATCTTTGAGCGCGTGAGGCAGAGCGCCGACTTCATGCCACTGAAACAAATGATGGTGAGGCCAGCCTCGCTGCTTCTGCCCCTTCCCCGGGGCACCCGGTGGGGCTGTGGGAGCAGGGTGGACGCAGGATGCCCCAAGCGCCGTGGCTGAGCGGCTTTGGACTCTCTTCAGAAAACCCTTAACACTGACCTGGGTCCCCACTGGCGGGACAAGCTGGAGTACTTCGAGGAGCGGCCCTTTGCGGCTGCCTCCATTGGGCAGGTGCATCTGGCCCGCATGAAGGGTGGCCAGGAGGTGGCCATGAAGATCCAGGTAGGCTGGAGACTCCTGCTCCAGTGCCAGCTTGGCAGCGGGCACTGCAAAGTGCTTGCTGAGGTAGGGAGGGGGTTGGGAGACAAGGTTGCTTCCTCACTGCCGGGTTGTGGGTTGAGTGAGGCAAGTGGGTAACATTTGGGGCCTGAGGTGGAGGGGAGGGCCCTGAGTTGGCTGCTTTTCCTGGACCGGAATGCCTGCACACACCCCACCCCCACCCCAGCCACCGTGTTTCCCCTCTCGCTCAGGTTGGGCTGGGTGTGGAGGGTGGAGAGTAAGGTTGTGATGGCCTTGGGTCACAGCAGCCTTGACACTAGCTGTGGATGTGTCGAAGGCGGGAGACCCTGCAGGGTCCTGCCTGTCGCCCGAGTCAGCCCCTGCCTCCCCCACAGTACCCTGGCGTGGCCCAGAGCATCAACAGTGACGTCAACAACCTCATGGCCGTGCTGAACATGAGCAACATGCTTCCAGAAGGTCCGGCCGGGCATCAACAGCAGCTTCTCAGGGGTGGGTGGGCCCTCTCTGAGCCCTGAGCCCCCTGACAGTCTCCTTCTGGCTCAGGCCTGTTCCCAGAACACCTGATTGACGTGCTGAGGCGGGAGCTGGCCCTGGAATGTGACTACCAAAGAGAGGCTGCCTGTGCCCGGAAGTTCAGGTGCGACCCTGCTGGGTGCCAGTGCTTATTCTGCGAGGACCCTGCCGGTCCTGAAGGGCTGGCCCCCCTCCCATGGGCAGGCTCGGCCCCTTTCTGCTTGGTGTGCCTGCATCCTGTTCCGGGGAGGGGGGGGAGGGGGGTGATAGCCCTGTGCCGTGACCTCTGGTTCCCACTAGAGAGCTGCTGAAGGATGACCCCTTCTTCTACGTTCCTGAGATCGTGGACGAGCTCTGCAGTCCCCACGTGCTGACCACCGAGCTGGTGTCTGGCTTCCCTCTGGACCAAGCTGAGGGGCTGAGCCAGGAGATTCGCAACGAGGTGGGTCTGAGCCTGAGACAGTGCTGGAGCAGGGCTGGTATTCGGTGGGACCAGACAGGTGTGGCTCAGGACTCACCCTGGCCCTGGAGGTTAAGGGGGGTACCTGCAAGCTTCCCACTCAGGTAGTAATGTGGAATCAAAAATCCTGTCCCAGGTAGAAGTTGGGGTTGAGGGGTGGCAGTTGTAGTCTGACGGGCCCACCAGGCCGGCTTTGAGGCAGACTTTGCCCCTCACCCCCTTCCCGTAGATCTGCCACAACATCTTGGTTCTGTGCCTCCGGGAGCTGTTTGAGTTCCACTTCATGCAGACCGACCCCAACTGGTCCAACTTCTTCTATGACCCTCAGCTGCACAAGGTGAGCTCCTGGATGGGGGCCCCCCCCCGAACATGCGGCTTTCCAGGTTAGGGGTGCCCCCATAGCCCTGCAGTCTCTCCCCTCCCAGAGCTTGTTCGGTCTGTCTCCCCTCCTCCCTGGGAGAATCTGGAGATCTCTGTCCATCTACCTTCCCCTCCCCCATGCCCCCAGCTGGGACCACAGGCCAACCTTCCCATGCCCTCCCCCCCCGCAGGTGGCCCTTCTGGACTTTGGGGCAACTCGGGAATATGACAGGAACTTTACAGACCTCTACATTCAGGTACACTTGGGGCGCAGGGAGGGGCCGAAGTGGGTCCAACAGGTTTTCTAAGGCCACACACGGCGTGGAGGGGGAGTGGTGGGTTCCTGCCCCAGCACCTCTGTGCTGGCCCTGGTGACATCAGGCGGTGGCATGCAGGCTGGCCTCCTGGGGAGGGTGACGGGGAGCCCTGCTTGGGCATTGAGGAGGAAGAGTGACAGACAGGGCTGCCTCTCGTGCCCCCCATGTCATGGCCTAGATCATCCGGGCTGCAGCCAACAGGGACCGGGAGGCCGTGCTGAAGAAGTCCATAGAGATGAAGTTCCTCACCGGCTATGAGGTCAAGGTGAGGTTGCCTGGGCCCCCTGGGAGGCCCAGCTGCAGGTAGCCCTGGTCACAGGAGGCAGCCGCTGGGCCAGGACACTGCCCCCAATGCCGCTTTTCTTAATGTGGATTCAGGCCGGGGTCCCTCCAACTGCCCCTTGCCTGCCCTGCCCCTTGAACATAGCCTGTTCAGGTTGGGCTCCTGGGCTCGTCTAGGCTGGGGTTCAAGGCATTGGTGAGGACTCAGGGTGGGGGACCCCAGCACCCCTCTTGTCAGATCTCATTGGAGGAGCAGTGAAGGAAGAGTTGAGAAAGATCCCAGGAGAGGGGAGGGGCGAGGAGATGGGTGGGAGGGCTCTGCTCCTGTCCTCTGCCGACTGAAGGAAAGGGTGAAATCTTGGCTCTGCCACCTGATGGGCAAGTTCATGTCTCTGAGCCCCATGCCCCTCACTAAGTTACACAGGTCACTTCCCAGCACTGGGCAGCCGACTGCCTCTCTTGCCAATGTCGGTCCTCATGCCACGGCCCCCACCCTGGCCACTCGAGTGGCTCCCATGGGCAGATAGTCCCACAGGGCACCAGGCCTTGCTCCTAGCAGATGGCCAATAACCGGGTGCTGGCTGGGTCCACTGCTGACCCGCCTGCCAGCTCAGGCCCAGAGACTCTTCTTTGTAACTGGGGTGGTGGTTTGTAAAGACTTTGCCTCAGGCTTCACCACTCCCCTTTGCCCCACATCAGGCCCACTCCACACGTGGCTGATGTTTTCTTGAGTTCCTTCCTGGTGGCCAAGAGTCAGTGGACCCCACTGACAGCCAGCAGCATGTGTATACTTCAGGCTCCCACTTCCTACCCAGATGTTCACCTTTCACCCCAGCCACCAAACAAAAACCACAGGAAACCCTTCAAATCAACATTCTGCCCTCTCTGGCTCGGAGCTGTTAGTGAACACCCAGACACTGAGTGGAGGCCTCTCACACCTCGTCTTCATTTCCCTGCCAGGCCATGGAAGATGCCCACTTGGATGCCATCCTCATCCTGGGGGAGGCTTTTGCCTCTGAGGAGCCCTTTGACTTTGGCACCCAGAGCACCACTGAGAAGATCCACAGCCTGATCCCCATCATGCTGAAGCACCGGCTAATCCCCCCACCCGAGGAGACCTACTCGCTGCACAGGAAGATGGGGGGCTCGTTCCTCATCTGCTCCAAGCTCAAGGCCTGCTTCCCCTGCAAAGCCATGTTTGAGGAGGCCTACAGCAACTACTGTCAGAGCCGGGCCGAGCGGCAGTAGCCCATGGGCCCCCAGCGGCCCCGGCCCCGGCCCCGGCCCCTGCCCAGGCGGGCTCTCAAGGAACGCTGCACCCATCATGCCAGCCAAGCAGTAGTGGGAAGGTAGTGGTGGTGATGCTCTTTGAAACGCTTTGCCCAGTGCTGGGGAGAGGAGGCTGCTGGAGTCCTCGCAGCCGGCGCTTGCACACAGGCTTCAGTGCTCAGTGGGTGTAACGTGAGAAGTACAAGAATGTGAGCAAGCTTCAACTTCTCTGTCCCAATACAGGCAGTCCCCCGGTTACGAAGGTCCGACTTCCCGACAGCCCTGACTTACACTAACCCCACAAAGTCTGGCATATTAAACACTCGCGGCCTGTACTGTGGTTAGCATTAACAAATGTTACTTTGAGATATGCACCAGAACCCTTATTACTGTATGTTAGGATGCATTAGTGTAGCCAGGTGTGTTTCTTTGATTTTGTTCCATGTATGCAAAGCTAAGCTACAGAGGATCTACTAGAGGACTTGTGACTGGGTACACATAGGACCCACACCTACGTTTCATACTTGGCTCACGAATTCAGCTTACAGACTTGGTCGTGGAACTTGTTTGTAACTCACTGCCTGTTTGTCTAAAGAGGCAGGGTTTTTTTTTTTATTAACATGATTTTTCTAATGTAAACAGGAAACCAAAGATAAGAGAGTACTTCCCTCCAACCTATAAAATCAACAAAACACCACCCCGAGAAGCCTTTTTGGACGTTTTGATTGTTGGCCTGCATAAAGGCAGCGCAGCCTGTCTTGACAAGGGACTGACCAGGATGCTGCTTCCGGATGGAAAGGGCGGCAGCAGCAGGGTGCAATGAAGCAGCCGTGGACGGTGGTGGGAGGCCCCCCTCTAAGGGCCAGGGCCGTCGCTCAGATGTCACTGTAGAGTGCCTGATGGGCAATCAGAGAAGGCACTGGTAATTTTTGTACACTTCTTGTAATTGCCCGATTCTCTTGTTTCAATTAAAAAAAAGTGCTTTCTTGATTGTACCATTTTTTTCCCCCTCTGGTGACTAGAGTATGAGCGCCAGTAACACAGATTTTGCCACGTCTATCCTGAGAGAAGGACAAGGGGGCAGCAGGAGGCTGGGGAGGGCGGGGATGGGAGCTTTGCAGGTGTGCCCACTCCTCCATCCAGACTAGACTGCCCGCAGCCAGGAGTCAGCTCTGCTGGTGGGAGCTATGAACACAAGACCATCCGCACTGAAGAAACATGTCTGGAAGGTGCCTGATTCTGGCATAGACCTGTGAACGCCATGAAGAATGCGTGAAAGCCAGTCGTGTGGAACTGACTGGCTCCTGGCAGCCCCAAGGGCGTCAGAGCAGGACTGTCGGAGGGCTCGACGTCCTGGGCCTTTCTTCTGAGGCTCCCCTAGGTAGGTGCTAACCTTCGAACGTATAGTTAGCAGCTGAGCACATCAACTCAAGTGCATTAGGTGGTGAAATAACCTTTGCAAAGATGGCAGGTTTTCAGGGTTCTTAGACTCGACAGCTCTGACCGCGCAGGTGCCCGGCACCACGGCCACCCACAGTGTAGAGCGGCCTTTGACCCAATGCTCATCTCCTTGCAGGTAACTGAGTCAGGCCAGCCACCACTCTGTCTCTTCCTCCCTGCCCACCAGGTGGTGAAGGCAGGCAGAACAGAGCACAGACCATGTGTTTGCTTTCTCCTAGAACCACTGGCAGGCGGCTCAGAGACATCTCCCACAGGGACATGGCCAGCTGGAGGCAGAAGCCTCCTTGGTAAGACCAGGCAGGCCCCAGGATCACAAATGATTCTCATCCCTGAGTTGCATCCCTGCTTTGCAACTGGCCCTGCCCGCTTGCTTTGGTGTCCATGGGAGCCTGCGTGTGGGCAACTAGAATTCGACCTGTCCGCTCACTCAGGCCAGCACGCCAGGAGAACGTGTGGGGATGGGACCCACCAGGGCCGGCCTCTAGCCCCCAAAGCTGGTGAAGGACTGGACATGTAGTAGCCAAACAAAAGAGGATTTTCTGTACTGTTGGTGGTTAATGATGGCAAGCACCGAGCTGTGGGCCACAGGTGATTCTGAGTACTTGTAAGTCACCGTGCTTAGGGTGTGCAAGGTGGGCACTTTACACACGAGGAAGCTGGCGCAGAGCGTAAGTGGCCTGATGGCTATCAGGTGGTGGAGCCAGGCTTTCCAACATGATATCCTGGCCTTCGAGCCTATGCTGTTTTGTCTTCTAAACCGAGGGTCGGCAAACCGGCCCACAGGCCAGAACTGCTGTTGTTAACAGTGTTTAGAAAGCCGTGACGCCATTCGCTTACGTCTTGTGTGTGTGTGGCTGCTCTAATGCCGCAGGGGTGGAGAGGCTGGTCCACAAACTGCAAATATTACCTCACCCTGTGTTGGCACACTTGCCAGCTGTTATTCTAAATCATTGCTCAACCTCTGCTTCTCAACTATGGACGTGACCTCTCAGACCACTATCAAATGTAGTTTAAACGCTTAGTGGAAATGGGGCGGGTGCTTGCTAGATTATTATCTGCAGCCACACGTTATGGATTCCCTCACTGAGTCTGGATCAACCGTTAGTACCCAGATCTGAAGCAGGAACAGTGCCTGAGAGTGTCCGCTGATCCTCTGCCATGAGACCCACCCACTGCTGCCATGTGGACTGACCTCTGCAGAGGGCGTTGCCGGCACCTGCACACAGCAGGGCCACTCGGGGCTGACCAAAGAGTAATAGGGCATTTCTGACCAGAAGAGTGAGCGGAAAGCTGGGAGATAATTTAATACAGCTTACAGGAGCCCAGGTGTAGAGGTTTTGAGATGGGCTGTGATCCCCATGGCAAGTAGTTCAGAACCACCAGTGGCTCCCTGCTCCGTGGGAGAAAGACGGCTTTCTACTCCTGTAAACAGGTACAGACTTGGAAACCCACAGGCGGTCACTATGAGCCAGCACTGACTGGATGGCAGTGAGCACCGGCGCTCCGGAAGAGAATCCTAGACTAAAACATACTGGCAGAGGAGGCCTATGTCCTGAACCTGAGGAAGATGCCTGCAGGAGAAGGGAGGGAGCAGCAAAAAGCAGATAAAAAAGACGGCAGTGGTTGCCGTCTCTTCTCCATCCCTCAGACGTCTGTCTTCATGGGGAGAAAAACGACGAAATACTAGATTCTAACAGTTCCCCGTTTTATTGCAGTACATCAACGTCTGGTTAATATTAAGTGACACCAACATAAAATATTGGTGAGGAGACTTTCATGACACCTTTATCCCACCTCATACATTTCTGTGCAAGAGTCCACATCATTGTCGGGCAGCCGAGAATCCTTACAAAGTCCCTCAAGACACTGAAGGCGCACAGCCAAAGAAGAGAGACGAGGCCAGAGCAGTATCTTCCCTTCCGGACACATCTGTCAGCATTACACTCGAAACAAAAAATGATCACATCCAGACCAGGCAACACTGTACAAGAATATTACAATGGGGAAAACCTTAAAAAATGTATAAAACAAAGGATAGTAAACTATCAAATAAAAGACAGGTTATTTTGTTTCCATGGAATTTCAAGGTTGATCTGTCCCTTTTCCCCATGAATGAGATGGCTGTCCTGGGAGGATGGCAGAACCTGGCCTGCTGCTGCAGGCCCCATCTGCCAGAGCAGGGCCCAGAGAACTCTGGCATCATTAAGGTTGTAACAGAGAGGGCCCACATGGTCTCACTGGGCTGAGTCTAACGGGCTGAGGCTGGCCAGGGAGTGGAAGTTCCCAGAATCCAGGTTGCTCCGCTGGTAGAACGTCTTAGCAAGCCCAAGTCCCGTTTGGCTGCCAGATGACGGCCCCATTGAGGGTGTGTGTCAGTCCCACCCTGACTTTTCTTTGTGATACCTGAGATGCCACATAAATGCAATTGGTCTCTCACAAACGCGTGTGGCCACTAAGTAACAAGGTGGCATATTTCTAAGCACGTGGAAGGCAGAGAGGAGCCAGCCCGAGATGCAGCCTTGCTGTAAATGTGACAGGACGGGCACTAGAACTGCTTGGGAACCACTAGACTGGCCTTTTCAGAGCATAAGCCAGTTAAGACTGGGTCCCCTAGGTTTTTAGTTTTAAATTAACGTAAAATCTGCTTTAGCAATCATTGGATGAGGAGGAAGGCTTTGGGTTTTGGCAACAATAATCTGTGTGTGTGTGTGTGTTTATACGCACATGACAAGATCAGTTAAGAGTTCAAGGGTAGCCAACCATTGGCTGGACAAGGACAGCATCAAACACCAATGTGGGTGGACACCACCAGACAGCCTCTGACTTCGTTGTCCTTCCTGTGGCAAACAATTTCCAGCTGCCGCGTGCATTGCACAACACCCCGCATTCGAGTGTGACTTTGAACAGCAAAGTCGTATCCTTTCTGTGATCTTGTCACTGTTCATTGGAATAGTCGTTCCCTTTTTCTCTCTCAAGGTATTCTCTCAATCTCTAGGAGGTAGCAGGGTCATATTTAAGGGTGAGGGGGAAGTGCACTAGTGGCCATGATCTTGGGGAAATCCTCCCCTATAGATGATTGCCTTTGGCTGGGCTTCTCCCTTGAGACCTGCTTTTGCAATCTAACCATACCTGGGCCTGGTCGATGGGGAGTGCATGCAGAGTCACAAGGTGTGGTGGCACACCTGCGTCCCAGGGGGATACTGGCAAGCTACCCTGTTGGCCAAGAGCTCCCCCACCCTCCCTGTTGGGGTGCTGAAAAGTGCTACTCCTGGTAGTGGGGCCCTGACTTACAATTCGATCCTTTGAAAAAACCAAACAAACCCACAGACAACAAAAGCTCACCAACAAGGCGTAGAGGCTATACATTATTTCAGGGAGAAAAATGATGGCTCACGGTAGGAACCAGGGAAACCTGGCCTGGTTCTGCTTCCTCTGCCTGGGGAGAGACTGGCGGCAGAGGCAGCGGGTGAGGAGCACGGAGGCAGCTGTCCGGTTCTCTCCTCTCCTGACAAGGGCTGAGTTAGGGAATGGGCAGGGTCAAGGGGCACTGCCAAACTCAAGACCTGGCACTTGGTATCTGGATGAACAAAAGTCCTTTTACATGCTTTTATTCTCAAAGTAAAATTACTTGGGAAATTACAAGGTACAGGGGATTATGCTCATCACCAAGATGTAATCAAGTTGTAGCAAGGACTGAATCTGGAAGATTTACATATCAAAAGTTGCCTAAGGTGAACTTTTCTCCCCCTACTGAGCCTGGCTAGTAAGCTTGAGGGTGGGAGTCCCCACCCCGCAGCCCAGTCCTTGCAATGAGCAGGCCACTTGCTTGGGCGGCTGCTGATGGGAAAGATGGATTGCCCTGCCGACCAGCACAAGGTGATGGTGCCCAAGCCTGCACTGTGAGCAGCTGCTGCCGGAAGCCTTTCTTCCACACCGTGGGGTTTTAAAGCAGAGGGTCACATGCCTCAGCGCCTCATTGAAACTGCGGTGAAAAGTCGGAGAGAAGCTGACGCTTAACTCTCGTAAGCTGTTTCACCCCTTTCTCCACTCAGTTGCTTAAACGTATTTTGGAATGACCCTAGAGAAATGAAGTTCTGGTTTTGCATCTCATTTCCTTGCAGCAATTAAAATAGCAGGATTTGAAATAGAACTTGATGAGTGTGTGCGCTCGAGGCTGACCATCGCCTCCCACGGGATGGGGAAGAGTATTTGGCTTAGGCTGCTCCAGTCCTACACCTTTGCGGTTTCCTGTTATTTGGTAATTAAAGGCTCCCCCGCGGCTTATCTGAAGAAGCTGGATGGCTGCTCCTGGCTACTGGGTCAGTTCCGAGTGGTAGAGGGCACCCTGTGCTCCGCGGGTTTTCAAGGCTGTCATTAGGGAATAAACTGCACTGCCCAGCCTCCCACCCCACTCCCCAAGAAGCTGGCCTCACCGCCAACGGGAACGGTCTCAACGTCAGAAAAATCGCTCTCACAGGCTTAGTGATGGGCCTTTGGGAGCCACGGCCACCCGTACGCTCTGCGACAAGGGATCAGGTGGTGGCAGAATCGTACGCCTGCATTCATCTGCACAGAGCATTCAACAGAATGGAAAGTGAAGTGCATGGTTCAAAATTCCACCCCTAGAAAAATCAGTGTGGGGCATAGAGGGGCTCTGCCTTTGATGTTGCCAAAGCAGCTGTGTTTATACTCGGTGTCAGGCGGGCCTGCCAGAGCTGATTATGCGGTTGAAAACACAAACAAACACACACACACACACACACACACACACACACACACACACACACACACACGCCGCCTACCCTTTAATTCACTCAGCTGGGAAACAAAAAATAACATTTCTTTAAATTAAATGACCTCTTTCTCATATATGCATCCATTTTCTGTCGAATACAAGATGCCTCTTTTAAGTATATACATTCAGTATTTAACGTCTAAATGGGTTTTTATTTAAACTCTGTATTGTAGTAAAATACGCACTGGTTCAGTATTAGGGATTCCCTGGCAACCCTTGGGGACATAGCTGCCGACAGCGCCCTGTGCGGCTCCTGGCAGTCCTAGTCTCTCGGACAGCGTGCAGTCTGGCTAGGTAAAAGCTACCCTGGGGTGTGGGTGTAGGGGTGTGGCGGTGTGTGGAGGGTGAAGGATTACTGGAAGCATCTACAGCGGGGTGGGGGGTGGGGCAGGTGGATCCAGCACGACACGACGACGACGCTGCGACTGCAAGTCGGCCTGGGTGCTGGTGCCACTCCATCTGCGTGCTCAGCGTCTGGCGTCCTGGGACCACCGCGCTTTCAGGCAGAGGTGACGAGACGGAGGGTGGAGGCGCGGAGGGCAGCGGAGGGGCGCGGCGGCGGCGGGCGGGCGCTCAGGGGTCCCAGCCCCGGCGGTCGGCGCGCTCCAGGGAGAGGCTGTGGGTCTTGCGGGGCGAGGCGGGACTGGGCGGGCTGCTCAGGTTGGAGCTGTTGGAGGCCGTGGAATGCCTCGGGGAGTCCGAGTCCTGTGGGCAGCGAGCCAGCCGTCAGGGGAAGCTCGGCTCTGTGACCCCATCTGAGCGGGGTGGGGCCCACAGAACCCTCTGCGGGTCTGAAGAGGCGCGGGCTAGTTCCCTGGAAAAGTTATCCTAAGAATGAAAACCTCCGGGGAAATGGCAGTTTCAACCCGGTGGGGGCTCTGCAGCCCACTGGCTCAGAACTGTAAGCGGAGCCCTAAGGCCCAGGCCCAGCGCCCCACTCACCTCGCCGTCGTAGTCCCTCGGTGGGGCATCGCTGCCTTGGTCCATGCCTCCGGAAGACAGGGAGCCCTCCGACGGGGAGGGCACGGGCTGCTGCTGGGCACTGTAGCTGCCCCCAGAGAACTCCCTCTTTAACGCGCTGCCGTTCTGTGCGGACGACCCTGCGGGGCAGCATTCAAAAATTGTTCTCCGCAGGCTGTGCAGGTGGCTGGGGGGCCGAGTCAGCCTCCCACTGTCCCACAGGGATCCTGCTGGCTTTGAGTGGGGCACTGGGGACAGCCTGGAGCAAGCCCACCATCTTCCCAGCCATGGTCCCTCCTGCTGGGCAGGGGCCGCAAAGTGACTGGCCTTGCGGTGCCTCTGCATCAAGGCCTGCTGACCCCACACTTCCTCTACAACCACCCGGCGTCTCCACCGAGCTCCTCCCTTAGGGACAGACTCTGTCCCTGCGGTGGCGCCTCTTAGGAGCTGCCTTCCTGGCATTTGGGGCGCTGTGGGGTAGCACGTGGATGCTATTGCCTGCCTCCCGCGGCCAGCCCCACAGCCAGTGCTCAACGGTGTGGACTGGCAGCACAGGTAGAGCGATTCCCAGAAAAAGAGGGTAGTGCCCTCAACGCCAGACTACCAGCCAACTAGAGGATTTCCCGAAACATCACAGAAAAGGTGAAGCATCTTCACTCCACACAGCAAGACGCCGGACACACAGAATGACCGGCTTTTCTTCAGAAATCGTACTCTGCTCCACTCTGAGAGGTGGGGCACATGAAAACGAGCATCAAAATCAAGAGTGCAGAAAAATGCTAGGACTGCTGGCTATTAGTAGGTTCTACACACGGGGGCGTCAAAGCTTGTGGGAAAAATGAGTAAGACGATAACAGTTTTTCTGTGAACTTTTTTAAGAGTCCACATATCTGCAAAACTGTATATGGGTTTATATTAACGGCATTTTAGTTTTGTTTCCTAAGTTGGTTTAATGAAAATTTCCTAATTTGCCAACCTGAATACTCTGTCCTAAGCTTAAGCAAGTGAGATAGCGGGTGGTGTTAGGGGCTCACTTCTGGAGGAAGAAGTTACTAGAAGCTGGCTGAATGTAAGAACTAGTTGATCGAGGCCTACTAAGGAAGGGGCCAGAGCTCTGGTAGCACAGCAGGCCACCCATTGTGCAACGAACCAAAAAGTCACCAGTTCGAACCCACCAGCCACTCTGAGGGAGAAATACTTGAAGTCTCAGAAACCCAAAGGGCCAGTTCAACTCTATCCTAGGGCCTCTATGAGTTAGAATCGACTTGTTGGCAGTGAGTTTGTTGGTTTGAAGGAAGTGTAATGGAGAGTACTTTGAAGGTGATAAAGTTGTTTTGTAAAAAAAATTAAATATATAGCTTTGAAAAAGTAAAATAATTCCGGGTATTTTTGGTATCCCTTCGTATTCTAGAAGCTGTGACTGGCCTTCCTTCATTTAGTCTAGTAGTTCTCAACTTGTGGGTCACGACCCCTGTGTGGGGTCGAACAACCCTTTCACAGGGGTTGCCTGATTCGTAACAGTAGCAAAATTACAGTTAAGAAGTAGCAACAAAAATAATTTTATGGTTGGGGGTCACCACAACACGAGGAATTGTAAGAAAGGGTCCGGCATGAGGAAGGTTGAGAACCACCGATTTGAGTCCAACGTGGCTAACTACTCTCCTTCCTTGGGCTTGCTGAGCACAGCTGCAACGGCCTGCTCACCCCACAGGAAGGGAGTGCCTGGGGTCATGACCTACACTGTTCCAGCAGGAATCCCTGCCAGCGGCTACAGCCTCCCCTGCCCTGCCTTCCCACATCCACCCACCAGCAAGCCACACTGCTTACTTCCCAAATGAACACAGCTACATCCCGCAGCTCCTCCCTTCTCTCCACTCCTCCTCCTCCTCTGCCACTGCCCTGTGCCACGCCAGCCTCTCACCCGCACGCATGCTGCCTTCCACTTCTGCTCACCTCTCATTCACTCTCCACTTGGTAGTCAAAGGGATCTTAAGAATGTAGATTGGATGAAGGCCTTTCCCTATTTAAAATTCTTCAAAGTGTCCCCATGGCATTTTTAATAAAAATTTTTCTTTTTTCAAGTTCATCGACATTATTTGAAGCAAGGACAAATACACATGTACAAAGGTCCGCTGTCACACCCACATACATTAGTGGACAGCCTGTCCCTCTCCCTGTTGTCCAGTCTGTGTGTCCATCTACTCATAGATTGCAGTTATTGCATGACTGCTTACCTCTGTTGCCATGAATTCTTGTAAACCACCACATCTTCCCCAGGCGTTATCATTGTTTTTATCAGTTTACTGTTTATTGCCTTCTCCTTCTCCCATGTGACTACCTGCCATGTGACTTCCCCTCCAAAGCCCACCCACCCCTGGTAAGCTATATATATATATATATATATATGGGTTTTTTTTGCACCCAAGAATATTTTATGTTAGTGTGGAAACTGTTTCTTGACTTTCTACAATACTGGCCTCCAACAATATTTGTCCTTTAGTGGTCAACTAATGTCTCTCAGCATAACAAACATTTCTTACCTTGATGTCCCAATCACTGCTTGACCGGACCCTGGCTTCTCTCTCTCATTTCATTTTTTTCACTCCTGCAGCACTGCCAGCTATAGTGTGCTGTCAGTGACTCAAACCGAGGGTCTGAGTGTGAGTATCACCTCTCGGGAGGTGGCGTGGTTTTCTTCATTATTCGAGGTATGAGTTCATCCCCAACAATTATCCCCTTTGTTTATTCTCGAATATGACACCCTGCTTATCATAAATGCTTCTGAGAATTTACCACCACAATTTGGAGTATTGTTTGCCTGTCTCCAATTGCTCTATTAAAGGCTCCAGGGCTAGTTTCTTAACACCTGCATCTGTACCTGCTGACACTGCCCGGGCTCCTCCACAATGCGACACGTGCCTGGCTGAGCACGCGTGGCACTGCCAGGGCATGTGGGCATGCCCTTCTTACAGCCTGGGGGCACTTACTTGCTGACAGGCCACTGCTGGCGCTCATGGAGCGTCCGGGCTCAGGGCGGGACTTGGAGATAGACGGAATGCTGACGGAGCCACTGAACACAGTCCGGCTTTCCTGAGGCCGAGGGTTCTGAAGAGAAAAGAAAGAGAATTCTCCAGTCAGAGAAAAATGGATTTTCTCCAGTGATGTCTATTTTTCCATGTAGTTATATAAAGACATAGATCTATCTTGACCAAGTGATAAAGAGCAAGGAACAAATCCTTCCCTCCCACAAAAGTAACATCCTCCCCCACAAGCGTAAGCATTTATCATTGTACTTATTAAATATGCTCATCAAATCAGATCAGGGCAGGCATTCAGCTATAGGAATTGTGAGGGTAGAAAGTAAAAGTTAGATGGTTAGCAGTGACAGAGTAGGGTAGAATTACATGGACATTTGCAGGTAAGTAAAATAGAACTGTTGTGAGATATTTATTTAGGATAGATACTTCAATAGCCAAGGAAAGCAATCTATTTGGTAGAAAGGCAGTTAAAATGGAATTCTCAAGTAAATGTTTTGTTCACGGGGTACCAAACATGCCAGTCCCGTTTCTGACTCCAGTGCCCAAGTGTCTTTCCTGACTCCCATGGACAGAGCAGCAAGGGGAGTCATGAAGAGGGGTCTGGGAATACTGGTTTGAGAAGTTTTCCCTTTCTTTATTGAATGAGTCGAGTTAGAACCGAGGCAGGTGACCTCTGCCAGGAAAGGGCGCTCGAGAGTGTGTGGACAAGCTGTCTCCGTGTGGCCCAGGCAGAGGCGAGGCGGCCTCCTCTCCTCGTGGCTCCAGCCTTCCAGACCAGAGGGGTGTCCAGGCTGGTCACAGTGCACATTCGGTAAAAACCTTTCACTGTTCCTTACGAATAGGGGAGGAGGCAAACGACATACGCCCCTTTACGGGTTACCCCTTCTCTACCACAGGTACTTTCTTCCATAGGGGAGAGGGCCCTAGCTTCATGGAAGCATTTCCAAATGGTCTGATTTCTTACAATTTATAAATGTTTATTTAGAAAATATGTTCTCCAACTCATCTGGCATACTGCTCCCTTGAGTTGTGGTCAGTTAATGCGTCCTTCTAGCCCTGGTTCCTTCTGTGACGGTTCCTAGTTGGGGGCTTGATACACCTGTGGCTATCACCCCAATGCTGAGGGCATTCTTTGCCAGGAGGATGGACAGAAATAGGGTGGATTGAGACGGGATCTTGGTAGACAGTGTGACCCAGGCCACACTCACCCTTTGTTTCCCTGGGGGCATCTTTGACTTTACCCTTGTAGAGTGCGACTTCAGACAGCATCGTCTGTGGAGTATAGATTCTGTTGCTACCACACACTTACTCACCTGGATAGCCTCTATTCCTGACAGAGCGTTGGTAGAGGGGTGCTCGTAACGTGGCATATGCCGTTGCCTCCTCTGGTATTTTTAAGATGTTCCCTGAATGTGGACTCTGGTGAGCAGTGTGACTTTGAACAATGTTGGCTTCTGGTTCTGGACCCTGCATTCAGCTCACCTCGGCCTGACCTTCAGATTTGTGCCTGAACAGCCCCCATCACCACGTGAGACTGTTCCTCAGTTTCCGTGGGGGCACTGCAGTGACTTGCAGAACCCGGGGATGTGAGGGGAGACTCAAGGGAGGATTCCAGTGGAAACGGAGCAGAATAGCATAGTAAGAGATAGACATCTGGGACTTCTTTAATCTCCAACTCCTTGGCACTAATCTGGCACGAATTCTTCTAAGAGACATTAGGACATGACCACAGTTGGTGTCAGAATGGCAGGGCTGACTCACTGGAAATGTGGTTTTAGGAAAACAGAAATAAAGGGGAAAATGAGAAGTCTTTGGTTTCTGGACAGGAATGCTTTGGATTAAATGCTGTAGATTAAAGCGCCTATCCTTTTTCAGAGAATTACTCGGTGGCCCTGAGACTTAAATGCTTTGCCTAGAGCCCACACTCCAGTATTCAGTGTAGGTGTATGTTTATGCAGCCTCCCTGGATTGTTTTACCCTCAGGGGTGGTACTGCCCACTTTTGGAAACACTGATTTAGAAAACGCAAATGCTCCGCATTGATTTTTCCTTCATAGCAATTTACCAGCCCAAGTGTTATCAGGCAGCCCATCCTGATTGTTAGCCATTCAGAAGAGACAGCACAGCAGGGCAGACATCTGTGCCACACGGCTTGGCAGTAGCGAACCTGTGCCCTCCTGTGTGTCACGAGGACAACACCTACCTCACGGGGCTCTCCTGAGGAGTAAGGGTGTGGCAGCGACAAACACAGAGCGCTACTGCCATGCCCGCTCTGCACCTTGCGTCCCCTGCTCTAATACCAACCCAGGCTGCAATCTGCCCCATCACTGACACCGTCCCTTTCAGTTGCCTCAAAAGAGAAACTAGCGGGGAAAAGACATGTTTTACCTGCATTAAACAAGATGGTCACTCTCTAATGAAAATGCAGGGGGGAAAAACACATTAAAAAGTGGTCATAAAACAAACCCTGCAAGTCTTCCCAAGGACCAGTTAGTTGCTAAGTGAAGCCAGTCGTTCTCACTCTGAGCAGGAGACGGTCTCTTCACAAGATGCTCTCCTCTGGGAGGTGCGATCACCTTCCCCACGACTGTCATGACCCAGTGGGCAGGTGTCACTGGGCATCACTGACAACTATATGGTTAGCCTGCAGTTCTCTAACGAGTTCACTGAATTTGTTTTGTTGATTATAAAGGGGAAAAATGGAAAATACTGAAATAGTGGGAAAGATTAAAATAAGTCGCCTGTGAATTCACCAGATGCTGTTGACAGTCCAGTGTGCGCCTGTTCATCCTTTCCTCTCCGACATTCCCCTACCCGGAGTTTTCCTCCAGGCGAATAAATGTATTCTAAAACGCTGTCATTATTTGTCTTGTTTTACTGTTTCAAACATCTTCAATCACTTGTGGTTTAGGGGAGAATACCTTCTCTTCTGCTACTACTAACGCAAGAAAAGCTCAGAGATGCAGCCGCATACCTAGCATACAGTGACCCTATCGTTTACAATGTTCACATAAACCTGTAAGTATTTTACAAGTTTCTTTAAGAGACAAGTCCTGAATCTTTAGACTATATATTACATGGTTCACTGCAAGTCTGCCGACGGACACTGTTTGTAGACACTTCCTCTGCCCTGCCACCAGCAGCACCGCCAACCACAGCTTGTTGTGGAGACAGCCCGGGGGTCTGGTGTTTCTAATCACAGAGTTTGCGACTTTATAGCTTGATCCCTTTAGTCATGTTAGCGTTCCTTACACTGACAGCTGTGGTAACAACGTAGGCACCTACAATGGTGACCATGCTCTACAAGGTACTGGAAAATCTTTGCTGAATAAATTGTTGGATTATGCCTGAAAGCACAAGTTTTTCTTCAGTTTTTCAGACTAATTTAGATGAAAGTCTATGAATCTATGTAGTTTGAATTCCAAATGATGAAGGTTTCTGTAGTGCACACGGTATTCCAGTTAATACTGGTTTGGTGTTAAAATTGCGTCAGGGTACAAGTTTATGCATGTCTTAAAGATACAAAATACCTTTAGCTTTTATTGTTTGGCAGAACAGTATTCCATGGGAATAAATGAAGAAACTAGTGGCGATTCTCCAAGTCTTTTGACACATGTACTAGCTCTTTTAAATGGTGGCCAACTTAGTGCAGGAACATGGGCACACATAGTGGAGATTGTTTCAGAGTACAAAAACCAAGCAATAAATAAACGTGCTCAATTCTAGCTAGGAAATGTTTTGAATTATAATGAAAGGAGAGTTGAGACCTGGAACCTCAATCCCTGGTTGCCATGAACCTAAAAGTTTGTTGGCTGGCCTCAAACTCAACCACTGCCATTTTGGGACATATATAAAGCTGACAGAGGTCCATGTAATCCTTGGTATGTTATTTGTTTAGAGCAAACACTACCTTTTGCCCCCTCAAAGAAAATAACACTTTGGAATGAAAGCAGACCACGTGAGCGCGCCAGCATTCACGCACATCCAGAAGCACTCTGTAAGATGCGTGTGACCTGCACGCAGCAGCACAGGACACGCCACAGAGGCCGCTGGCCAGCTCAAACTCGAGGCTTTTACTGACCAGGACTCTCTCTTTAGGACATTTAAAATACCTCAGTGCTGTCCTTTTCTCTTAAAAAAAATCTACCCGAGGGCAAACGGTAATAAAGGATTATATACCAAAGAAAGTTTCAAAGGACAAGATGGAAAACAAAACCAAACCCATTGCTCATTCATTCAGCTATAAAGTGATAGGGAACTTAAGTCTCCGATCCTTTCCACATGCAAATACTGTATGTTTAAAATGTCGACATACATCCAGGAGCGTAATAAGGTAATGGAATGGGTGCACTAGTTCTGTGACGTATCTATTATAGGTGATGAACTTGAGCAGGACGGACGGACACTGTCGCTGCTGCACTGGGCTCCAGCACAGTAACGCCCATGAGGGAGGGGCAGGACTGGGACAGTTGAGCCTGTTTTACACTGGGTGAGGAGCTGGACCCGACTGGAAGGGACTTAACAACAAGGGCAAGAGACTTCTCTACCATCTTTTATAGAGAAGTTCTTATTGCGTCTAATTGATGCAATGTTTCTCTGGTATCCTCTACGTAAAATCTGTTACCAAGCCAATGAAGGCTTATTTAACTTTAACCATGGCTAATACTTTGACAAATAAAACATTTAAGTGACATTATAATTTAATGCTAATATCAGTGACAGTCTTGAATAATTTTAATGCAAATACATAAGCTTCTCATAGTATTACTTCTCATATTTCAATAGAATATTACTATATGCACAAGTGAATCAATTGATGCTACTTTAAAGCATCAATTTCTCTAAGCCAGCAGACATTATGAGAAATGGGTTCTCATGAGACAATCTCAGTATCTTATTATCTATAGAAAGTAACTTGGGAAAAATTCCCTAAGTTAGAAGGAGCATACGTCTTAGTGAAAATGTGTGGGGGCTTCAAAAAGCCTATGGACAAATTCTATTATCTTTAATTCCATTTTCCAATGAACTTTCTGAAACACCATGGTATGACTTCAATGGTCACCAGTTCTCATCCCAAGGAGCCCGAGGGCCACAGTGGGGTAGAAGTTGGGGTGCTAACCGTAGGGTCAGCAGTTACAACCCACCACCATTCTGTGGGGCAAACATGAGACCGTCGGCTACTTTAAAGATTTCAGCCTTGGAAACACACAGAGGCAGTTCTACTTTGTCCTGTAGGGTCTCTACGAGTTGGGAAGGACTTGACGGCAGTGGTATCCCTCATCCCAGGGCAGAGGCCCTGGGAACAGAGACATAAAGTCAGTGACTGGGCCACGCCAGATGCTGTGGTCTCTCAGCTGGCAGCACAGGTTGCTTTTTCTCTCTTTGATTTAGTTCTCTTATCTTGGGTCCTGGCTAGAATTATAAAGACATGCCAGTAGCTTAAAGATTAGTATATACTTTTGTAAAATTTCCTGTTACTAATTAATAGTATTAATATTATAGCGATTTAAAAATTTCATTACAGATAGAAGAGGGGTGGTCAGGGTCTACATAGACTTTAAGCTTACCAAATAGAAATTTTCTTATCTGACTTGATCTGGTTATAGGGTAATGAACTATAAAACCCAGAAATTCTGGGAGCACACTATGATGGGAAAAAATTTCATTGAACACAGAAAAATATCATTACATTTCAAGAATAACACTGAAATCCTCCCTAGTCTTCCATCTTCTTCTTTAAAAAACAGAAAAAAAGAAAAGGAACCTGAGGAAGGAAGTGCAGGAGGAAGGACATAATGAGAAGGAGAAGGGAAGAGAAACTGGCCGAGGAGAAAGAGGCCCAAAGGAACGATTCACCGACAGGTGCCACCTCAGCGCTGTGACTGTTAAGTCCGGCAGCAGGAAACCAGTGTGTGGTTAGTAAGAGTTAGCGCCTGACTCCGTTGTTCATACCCTCCGAGTCAGAAAGCTTGGTGTACCAGGGACAGAGTGAAGAGACGGGGAATATTCAGGGTTTATGGAATCAGGAGAGAGGAAATTTTCAGCAGAATTAACACTCATGTGATAGATGTGCTCAAAGTTGATCGGAGAGGAGATCAGACCGGAGAGATGATGTGGGGATGGATATGGGAAACTGGGCTATCAAAAACAACAGAAAGGAGACAAAAAGGTAATAAGGTAATGAAATGGAGTCACTAGTTATATGTAACATATCAGACAACATGCTCATAGAAAAACTGAAGGACTAGCTTACATCAGACCCGAATCCTTAGTAAACTATTTTTAAGTCTTGAAAGTTAAACTTAGTCGTTCTCTTGCCAGTTACTTAGTAATGGATTTGCAAAAGATCATTCACCTTATAAAAGCATTGTCTTTTACTATAAGTGAGCAGACGCTGGAGTTCTGCATGAAAACATGGCAAAAATCTACCAAAAATGTTGAGTAGAAAAAGCAAGAAACAATGAAAGAAAAGGACAAGTGTTGCTATAGCTAACTTCTGATTACACGTGTTTGCTGGCTGTTTTTCTTCTAGAGAACTGTGAAACCTCTTTCAGCCCCGTTGGTGTACTGATCATGCGTTAGACTGCCAACAGCTAGGTTGGCAGTTGGCAACCATGTCCTGGTATTTATACGACTTGTAAGCTTGATCTTACAGATCTTATTGCATTTTTAATAAGTATAGTAATGGAGGAAATATGGTAATTATTGGCTTACCTTTTAATCAGGTCCAGCTGCTCTCCATTATAAACCCAAAAAAACACAATCCCGCCCCCCCTCGCCCCCTGCAACCCCCACCAAGGAAGAAGTCACGCCTTCTTCCCTTCACTGTTCAGATGTGTATTTAAAAAATTAAATTATGTACTACTAAATTAAAAGGGGAAAACATTTTAAAGGCTAATTTTTCAGATCAAATAACTAGTGAATATTTGGGAACCATCATTTAGTGCCCAGTCACTTTCTCTAATGGGTTTTCAAGGTTTGGTTCTTGAAGTGTAGCTCTTTGTTAAAAGACCTCCACTCATTTTTTCACTGGAGGCTGAGGATGGATAGCATGCTTGCGAGGAGGCTGCTTAAGCTCAGCAAGACATTTATCTCATCATGATTTCAGATGAGCTTGCTTTGTTAACAAATTATCTCGGCTTAAAAATAAATAGGTAACTTCTGTAAAACATGTTTTGAATTTAGAGATATGAAAGAAATTTGTAATCCCCAAGATTGTTTTAAAAGATTGATGTAAAGTTTGTAACTTTGATTTAGGAGAATGAACTTCTGAAAGACTTATAAGGTCACTGAAGTAGAAAACTTTATTAACCATTTTAATGAAGAGGAAGAAAGTTATAGGTAACTAAAATAACTAATCAAAAATCTAGGAAAACTGCAATATGCTAAAGAATAACTCTTTTAAAGGTAGAATATTACTCTTCCATTCAACTAGCAGAAAAATCTGTCCTTTATTGTCAGTATCTACTGATGTAAAACAGGTAAATGATAAAACGAATTCATGAAAATGAATGCAGTGTATATTTCTTTGAAATACAGGCCATCATCTACAGATTGCTTATATTTTCTTGGCTCATCAAGAGACACACGAAGCATTACCATCTGATACAGAAGAGGGAAAAAGAAGCCCTTCCTGACCCTTCTATATTCATGAGGCAAACAACCCTATTTCAGGACCATTTGATACAAAGGAAGTAGAATTAAACTAATAAAAGCATCCAAAAAACTCTACAAGCTTTTCATAGGAAGCAATGTTTATTTGAATAAGTTAAAACATAAAAATCTTTGAGGTACACATCTTGACACAGATGACATGTGCCTTTGGTATTTGAAAGCTCTTCTTATCATGCCAATATTAGATGGATGTAATTCATTTTTATTTTTGGAAATGGATCATTAAATAAAGATCATTTCAAAAGATGAACATATTAAAATCTGAGACTACATGACAAGCTTTTCAATAACCCAATACATACATAGGTACATACACACATACAAGTTTTTTCTAGACATGCATATTATATTGTTGGTCAACAATGTCTATTCAGAGACAAGCATAGTTCTGGGCATATAGAAAGTGATCAAAAAGCATTTCTAAAATAAGATGAATAAATGCCTAGGAAAAATCCCATCTTATATGCGCTTTGAGGGTTAAAAGAAAAAAGTCATATGAAAATAAAAGGACTATGAAGAACAATAATCAAGGTGAATGACTCATAGTTTATATGAGTAAGAAGCAGATTGCAAAAACTCACACAAATTTCTCATCTCTGGAAATAGGTAGAAAAGTGTGGAATTAAAAGAGAATGAAAATTTCCCACTAACTCTGTGAAGCCCTCTTGTACAAAAGTGCTCACATGATAAGGAAACATTAAAATATTGGAAGGAATATTAGAAAAAGGATTGAACTTGGCCAGGGCAAAAAAAAATAAAAAAAATCACTTGGAATCAACAAGGTGGCCAAGGACTAAGAAAATCAAAGGACTTTTAACAGAAAATCAAGACTTCTAATCATGTGTTGAGAGATGAATCTTTGGAAAACACTACCTAAATTTGTTTGGCTTAGTAATAAAGACAAGGTCTTATTTTTTAATAAAAGATTTGCTTTAAGTGGTGAGAGGGTGAGGGGACAACAAGGGAGGGACGTTTAGATATAAAAGTTCTTGCAGTGTTTGAAAGGGACATTTCCCTTCAGGGTGCACGGTCTTACTGTGCATGAGGGTCTCAATGAACTCAATGGGTTTTACCTGCGGCAGAATACCAAGTCGAGGGATATTTCTGAATTTAGTGTCAATTTAAGGAATTGTGGGACACAGTAGAGTATAAAAAAAAAAAAAGGTCTACAAGTCTTATTGTTATTTGAATATATGAATCGAAAGCTGTTTCTTTTTGCTCACTAAATGAAGCAACTGCATGAAAGAAAGTTTAAAGAGATAATACCTAATAAAAACCTTTAAAACTACTGAAATAAGTTTATATATGTTGATACATTACTTTGCAGCAGATGCATTTTTGGAATTTATATCCCTCTATATTTATTCATATCAGGTTTTGAAAAATATTTACTAAAATACAAAAGTTTAACTAAAATAGTACATAATACTTGACGTGTCAAATATGAATTATAAGCATATTCACGTTTCAATAGGTTTCATGTTTTAGAAATTCTTTCTATTGAGATACTTATAACCAATATTGAAACCATCATAAGGAAAGAAGAGGTTTTGTACAGTATGGTTCTGCTGCTCACTTTTGAAAATAAAAGAAAACAAGACTAGGGTTTTAAGCAGATGTTCAAATGAGAAAACAACGGAGAGAAATCTGAAATCTCATTCTCCCCCAAAAAACCTGAAAAAATTGTATAGCTTTTAAGTATGCTGGACAACTAACAGTTTTAAAATGTTTTATATACTTTAATTATTGTGTTAAGAAATATTTATTTCTATTTACCCAGTATAGGCGCCCTGGTGGCATATGGTTGGTTATACACTGGGCTGCTAAGCAAGGTCAGCAGTTCAAAACTTTCTGCCCAAGACAGAAAGACAAGGTTTTCTATTCCCATAAAGAATTACAGTCCTGGAAATTCACAGGGTCAGTTTTACCTTGTCCTAGAGGGTCGCTCTGAACAGACATTAAATTGATGGCAGAGAGAACAGTTATTTGCCCAACACAGCTAATAAACATCTTAATTCCAAAAGGATATAGGACTCTTATATATGATTTTCACTCCTTAAAGGCAGGAATATTCCTGTAATTGTACAATAATGCCCTTGATAATGATGAACAGAATGATGACAGCGAGAAGAGGCACATTCATTCATAAACAGAGCCAGACGGTTAAGTGAGAAATTTATAAGGAGGAACTAGGACTCAAGTGAATTGACTTTTCTTTTCCCCCACGGAATAAGTAGAAAGCATCCTTTAAAAGCTTTTAAAATTTAATATTTTTTAAAATGTAAGGACTTTGTGTCAAGTTAAGCTACCTATTTTTGCTTTGTATCAATAATATATGCTTATATGTTCTGTATCACAGTAGAGTAGGTAGTGTGGGTAGTTAAGACTCACTTTCCTAGAAAGAACTTTGGGTCAAAATTGCCAAATCATCTCCCTAATTGCCAAAGTGTATTAAACATGCTGAAAATTCTGTGTAATTATGTATTTAGCAGCTTTAATGCTGAACAAAAGATTCCTAAAAATCCTATGACAGAAATGGCAAGTATAAACAGAGCCTAGACAAAAATCATTTTAATCTCAATACAGTAGCTCTGAGAATACAACCTTACATTGTTAAAACACAATAGCATTCCTATGTTGTGCTCTTTTGGTATGTAAGAGTGACAAGACCATATATTTGCACTGGGGCAAAGGAAAAGTATTTAATTTTCAAATGAACTGAGAGCAATAACCATTAATTGTCAAGCTAATGTGTTTTTTGTCTGGAAAAACGGATAAACTTACTAAGAAACCAGACTGAATTGCTTAAACATAGTAAAATTTTAGTGATTTAATGACCAAGTCTGACTCTAGGTATAAACCCTCCCCAAATCCAGTAGTTTCTTCCACCAACAACAGTAAGTCTACATCTGAATTTATAAGGCTTGGAATTAAAGAACTTGAATTTGTTTTGTGATCAAATTTTGAGATAATTGCCTACATTGTACGTTTTCTCATGCTAAAACTATGCATCTTATACAGATTATGATATACTGAGATAAACATTTCCTCCTTGTATTATATACCTTTAAAAATTACTATTCATATATAAATATCACATGTTCCTAGCTCCAGTCATGTTTATATCCCCTTGTCATCCCTCTTACCATGGGTAGGTCTTTTAGAATCTGTATTCCATCTCCGGGGCCCATGTGTGCTATGTGGTTAAAATTAGTTGGGTTAGAAATTAATTTGTTTCTCATTTCTGGATCTCGTAGCATCTCTCTGCAAGATAAAACACCTGTTTAGACACTTTTTCCAGACTAAATTTAGTTAATTTGGAATACTGAGCATATTTTGTTATTATTTCTAAGAAAAAATTTAAAAAATGAAATTGAAAAATTACATTAATATGTAATTAAAAACAATAGAATATGCACAATTAAAAACCCACTTCCTAACCCTATAAGGCCTGAATTTTTAATTTCAGGGGAAAAAAATTTTTTTTTAATTCTTTACTTTCATAGTTATCAATATATATAACAACCAAAGTATATTAATTATGATATATGTGTGGATTATGATAAGAGTTGTATGAGCACCAATAAAATGATTTAAAAATGTAGTAAAAAATATATATATATATAAATTAAATGTTACAAAAGCATCATGCTTGGCGTTACAGGGCTAAGAGAATTTAAGTAAAAGATTTAATAATTTTTGGTAGGAAAAGCGTTCTTGTAATACTTAAGATATCAAAGCATCTCAATTTTATTTAACAGATATCCTGACCATTTTACTTATGTATTTTAAAATAGTTGACAACATTTTAGTTCTGCTGACAGCAAGGACTCAAGCAGAAAGAAAATGTTTTGAAAATGATGGCAACAAATGTACAAATGTGCTTGACACATGGATGGATGTATAAATTGTGATAAGAGCTGTATGAGCCCCCAATAAAATGATTAAAAAAACATTTTAGATATGATTTTACATGTGATTAGAATTTTTTTTCCATTTGCTCAAGAAGAAAATAGTTAACCTGCAGTTCTCAAACACATGCAAGTTTATCTACAGACATGTTCTATCTTTATAGTCTATGTTTATATCATAGAAAGGCACACATTTCAAAAAGTATGGCTATTTTACATACATACACAAATGAATAAAAACAAGGTACTTTTTTATCTGGTGCACATTATGACGTTGAGTAACATTACATTGAGAAAATGCATTTACTATTGGTTTTGACATTTGTTGATAAAAGGATTTCCTCAGAGATTAAATACAGTATTACCATTAAATAGTCCTTCAGATGCTACAAGCATACACAGATGATAATTAAAAATTAAATATCTACCTCCTCTGTTGCATCCTTTCTTCTTCTGGAACTCTGAAGGAATAACGTCGCTTATTGTTAATATTTCTCACCATTTGTTTCCGACTATTATCTGATGTTTCAGGAACTACCAGTTCATCTCCTTCTGTTAAAAATAAAACACACACACATACAGACACAAAAAGAATATTCTTTTTTTAACACTGCTAAAACGCTTTCTACCCATAAAACTCCCAAACAGTATAAATGCTAATCAATTGAACAATTACATACAGTTGTTATAAGCAAGAATGATCAACTAACTTATGTAAACAGATATATGCTCAAATAAAACAATCCTTATTTTAATTTGCTTTTTAGTGCGAAGTGCCAACATTTTACTCAAAGAAACATGTAAGTTGCCTTGGCGCCTTGTCAATTTGACCTGCCTCTCTATGCCTGACATTTCTAAACTGGTGCTCTCTCCCTCCAAGTACTGGCTTCAATGGCTGGAGGGTGTTAAGAGCTCCTTATGAATAAGTACACAGTAATCAGGCATAAGATACATAATCATAGTAAAGATCCCTTTTATATAACAAAACATTTCTTCTCCAACATCCAATCTGTGAAATGTGGAGTAAGGGAAAGGAACTGTGCTTCCATTACCTTCCCCTTTAGCATAGGTAAAAATCTGTCACTATAGCTATTTTTCTGACCTTGGGGAGGAATGATATTTAATCATATAAATGTGGGATCCTAGTGTCCACCATATCCTATTTCAGTCATATAATACCTATAAATAAATGTGTGTGTCACTCAGGAGCTTCCAAACTATGCTGAACTATGTCAACACGCTCTAAGAATAAAACAGATAATGTAGTCACAGCACATCAAGCGATGTCATTTTTGAAATCAGATAAAGCAAAAGAAAGCCAATGTTTGAAAATTTTAGGTACAAAACGCTGCGATGAGACAAACAAGGTGAGAAGTGGTCTGCAGAGCAAGCCCGAGTAGATGAGTAAGGGAACTGGGACTTGTCTGGGAGTGTAACAGGGCCGCTTGCTCAGAGGACAGTCCCACCAACAAACACGAAAAGAAGGGCGTTTTAAAAGTAGATGAGATTATAAACATGGGACGTATGAGGGTGGAGCAGGTCTCGAAGAGTTATAGTAGCCATGGGAGATTCTGAAGAGCTGCTGGGAATGTGTGCTCCTGAGACGGAGAAAGAAACGCCTCTGGAAATGAGATTTTTTTTTTTTCTTTCCAAAAGACAAGACATTAAAATTTTGTCTGGTTCTTAGCCTGGAACGGAAAAGTGAAAGCCGGGAAAAGACAGGTTGGAATAAGTTTTCTCGTATAGACACAAACTGCTATGGACATATTTTATGACCAACACAGTCATGCACAGTGGGAAAAGGGAGGATCCAATCTTAGACATATTTGGAGACCTGGGAAAAAGTAAACAGGATCATAATGAAAGTGAGGAGTTGAAGGTAAGCCTCATTAGCTTCACAATACATCTATCTGCATGGAAATCAATAGAGAACTTGAGTATCTTTTCTCAAGTCGTATGCGAATATCATCTTAGCAGACTTCTACATTCTCCGACACTCTACCAGGAGACCAAATGAGAAATCAATCTGTTCATTTTCGTACTAAAACTGAAAAAAATAAAATAAAAAGAAACAACAAAATTGATAGCTATTTTTCTGATAGCTGAGTATATATTTTTATTGGTGGAATAAGGGGGTGGGGGAGGAAAGAATAAAAGAGATCCTTCTATCTAGAGATACGTGGTAAGTATTTTTACTTATATATGAGAGCATTTAAATTGTTCTGTTTAAAAATACATAACAAACTGTATATACATCTTCATTGAATAGATTCACCCACAGTAATCAGAAATTCATTAATACTTTTACCATGTAGAATTTTGTTGCTAAGACATGGGAATGCTATTATATAGAAGAGGACAATACAGTATTCGTTACAAGTGTGATTTTCTACTCTGATTGACAAACAAACAAAAAAAATCTTTTCTGAAACAATTACACATGCATAGTCTCTTGGCTGGAGAATCACCTCACGACCGGTCACTGACCAACTGCCCCGTCTCTTCCCTGTAACACCTGGAATTCCCGTTTGTGCTGCTGATTCTGGCCATTCCTGTGTCTTTCCTCTTAGCTGCTTCTCTCATTGTCAGTAGCAGTTGGGAAATTCTAAACCCTATACATTGAAATCCCAATCTGGGACTCCAGATGGATTTTCACACTTCATAGATTTTGATAGGTTCTATGGTAGTGAATGTACACAAGACATATTCAGTTCTATTTTCTCCTATCTCAGTACCCCACAGAAAAATATCAGGGTCATGTTAGAATCAAATATTTTTCTTATAAATTTATGTAAGCTTAAATGGAATGATATATTTGAAGAGTAGCTTACTTTAACATACTAAGAGAGTATAATAGTAGATCTAGTCGCTCCCACATATTGCTGATGTACCTTGGACAGTCAACTTAGATTATTTCCAGTGAAGCTGTCATATTGCTTAAGAACAATATTGTTGTCCTATAATTCATGCATCGTATGACTCAATAGTTTAAATACATTAAATAAGAGTTGTGCTTTGTTCACTGCAATCAATTTTGGGACTTTTTTTTCTTCCTTGTATTCATTATGATTAGCTCATTTCCCCCTCCACCTCCTCTGTCATAATCCTAATAAATTTATTAATCTAGTTGCTGTCTCTATAGATTTACCTATCCTGAATTTCATATAAAGAAAATCATTAACAAACCACCACCAACAGAATAAGAGACAGAAAAACCTCATTCCAAAAGATACCATGAAGTACTAAAATTCTCAAAAAAACTCACTGCCATAGAATCGATACCAACTCAAAGTGACCCTAGAGGACAGGCTAGAACTGCCCCTGAGTTTCTGAGATTATAACTGTGTATGGGAGTAGACAGTCCCACCTTTCTCCTGAATAAAAACTAGAACAAGTTAAAAATGGGTCAAAAGCAGTAACTGGACTAATAATTTCCTTGGAGCATGGCAGGGGAGGCTATGGGAGGATTGGGAGCTTATAACAATGAGTACATGGAAGAAGAAAATGCCCTAACATCTATTGTGGTGATGATTTCACAACTCTTCTGAGTATGATTGAACTATTGAATTGTATGATATGTGAATCATATATCAATAAGGCTATTAAAATGAGTCAAAAGGGAAGACAAAGGGTCAGATGTTAAATGTTAACCTAACTATATCTACAGTAATCCCATTTCCATTGCACTCTGTCTGGGGAGAACAATATTCATATCCTTGGTCAATGGACTGAGGGGCTTCAATGGAGGCTTGGTCCAAGTACATGATTGGGCTTCCACTATCATCTAGCCTTTTGTAAACTAAGTATTCAGCATTTAAGCTCTAGTTAAGTCTCTCCCTCTGATCTTGGATTTGATTGATCACACTTCTTTAGGGTGGACTTAACTGACACTTCAAGTATATGGCTGCTTGTTTTAAGACAAGCCTTCAAGACCTCAAATGCTTTCCTTTCTGATAGTCAGGCACCATCTGATTTCTTTACCACACTCTGCTACAGTACCCATATCTTCAGAGATTACATCATGAGGGCAAGTGTTAAGGCTCACATCATAACTACCTGCTCTTATATTAGGGCTCTTATAAATGTGAGCTCAAAATCCAAGAGTCTATCTATGGTTTAGATATACCTTTGGACCACTTTAGGGACAGTAATACTAGTTTTGTGAGAAATAATATAATCTTCATGGGCTATTTGGTAATTCTAATAATAATATCAGAAGTTTAGCCAATGGTATAGAATTTACAATACTATTGAGAAAAGGAAAATATACATATATAGGAGAAGCTGTCCTTTTAATATCTGTATTTTCTTACCTGCCATCTTGTTTTTGAAATATATTAATCGGATTGTCTCTAATCCTAAAAGATTTAATGATCCTTCACTGTTTAAGGGTCGGACCTGAAATAATAAAAACAAAATTAATACTTCAACAAAATCTTAAAAAAAATTAAACTATAATGTCATCAACACCCACCCTTGTATTTTATCCCACTCCCCACTTGAGTTCTCTTTTCCTCTTATGGACCTCCATCCTCCTTTACACCCAAGTCTGTACCTGTCAACCTTCGAGCCCATTGGTTAATCGCACTCTTGCCCTCATCCCTTGGGAACCGCCTAAATTTGTTCCCTCTGGCATGCCTGTCTTTGCCTTTATTTTTATCCCCAGAGTAGTGGAGCCATACAATATTTGTCCTATTGTGATTATATGTCCTTATGTTACTAACTTCACATAAGGCCCTCCAGGTCTATCCATAGCACGAGGTGCTTCATGGTTTCAAAGTTTTTGTGATGCATATATTTAATTGTGTGTATGTACCAGCTTTTCTTTATTCATTCTTCCACTAATAGGCTTTGGGCTGTTCCTAGCTTCTGGTAACTATCAGCAGTGCAGGGATGAACACGGGAGTGCATACGTCGGCTTGTTCTCTCTCTTACTTCTTTCAGATATTGTTGAACCATACAAGATTTCTAGTCTCAGTTGTTTTAGGTAGCACCCTACAGCTTTCCCAAATGGGTGTATAAATGTGTAGACCCACTAGGCGTGGATGAGAGTTCCAATCTCTGTGTCCTCCTTCAGTATTTGTTGCCTGCTTTTAAAATTGGGCATCATTGTCAATGTACAGTCATACCCAGACAAGTAGTGATTGTGAGCATTCTTTGTTTGCTAGCCATTTGAAAGTCATTTCTCAGTCATCAGTTTGTTCATGTTCTTTGTCCACTATTAAAAAAACACATCTTTTTCTTTGCTCACTTTTTAGTTGGATTATTCATTATTTTCTTATTGAGGTATTATAGTATTCTATAGATTTTAGAAAACAGTCCCAAAGATTTTAGTCTATTAATAAGGCATAGTATATTAAAACCTTTCATTTATCCTCCAACTTCAAAATACAGTCTTTATAGAAAATTAACAACAAAAATAACATTTTATTTTACCTGAAATTATAAAATGATCTAATTTGAAAGAATTTAAAATACTAAAGTGAAGCACAATAAAAATATATCCGAACCTTATATTTGACTTCTTAAAGCTATTAGTGACTAAATAATTATATTAAAACTATATCAACATAGCTGCTTTATGAATTCTTATTATAAAAAAACTAAACATAAACATATTAGGTAGGTGAAATTACAGATCACAGGGGAAAAGGAGGGCCTGTCAATAGTGATGAAGCAAGAGTATTCATACGGAACCAAATTAAATTGGATCCTTATTTCACACAATACACACACATATTCAATTCCAGATGGATTGTGGTAGTTATATAATTTCATATCAACTTGATAAATAAGTGTAGGGGTAGAGTCTGGCCTGCCAATCAGGTCACAGCCTGATGATGTCTCCTTGTGGGCATGGCCTTCTCATGAGGATTCTAGAAACTTTCTCTCTCTCTCTCTGCTTCACTTTCCTGCTG